TGTAAATGTGCAAACGCTTCGAGGCTTCCTCCATGGTGATGATTCCAGCCGTGACGACATCCTTGACTCTGTTCTTCTCTATATGGGCTCTGCGGTAGGCGCTTCGCTCTTTAATGACCGAGGTGATCTCGCTCAAGTTAGTTCCGCCCTCGGTGAGCATAGAGATTTCTCGTTCCAAATCGGCCTTCGACACGAAAAAAGGCGACCCTGTATCACTGGGAGTCTCAGTGATCCCAGGCACCCGAGGGGTCTGGTTTACACCAGGGCTGGACTGGTTTTTGGCGTGGAGCTGAGCATTCAGCTGTCTGAGCTGCTCCTTCAACTCAGCAATCTGTTCCTGAAGATCAGCCACCAGTTCGCTGCCAGCAGCACGACGACGGCGTTTGCGAGGCTGGTCGACGTCGATTTCACACACTTTGCCTGCGTTGGAGCATCTCACACAAGGCAGATGAGGATCGTTTTCGTCCAACGGGGTACACCTCACTTTCAAAGCATGACACTGCTTACATGCTTTTGTTCTGCGGACTCGTTTCGATCCGTTCAGACTGCCTGTGCCTCCAGCAGGCAGCAGGTGGTTTGACATGTCTCTTTCGTGTTCAGGCATGTCCTAGTAGTTGTAGGAGATGAAGGTGCGACTGATCGGTTCGGCTGGTAGGGGCTCATGTGACTGGGGCGGAACTGTTTGCACCCAAGCTTACAGAAAGAGGAAATAGGACGAAGGGAAAAGGGATGCATTAAATTTAGAAGAGATGCTTTATTTTTTCAAATTCTTGGCCGAATTGGTCTGAAAGTTTATCCGTGCTCTGCCTGTTTATCAGATATGACTTTGACAGGTCCTTGGCACGCCAAGCTGAGCCCGGTTTTTTTCAGGCGGGGATGGGTAGGCCGAAGAAGTTTATTCGTTGAAACTCGGTGTACATTGTTTATATTGTAAGAGGACATCGTCATACGTATTGGTGGGCTTGACTGGTCCGAAATGCTACGATTCATTGTTCGGCCGAAGTGACCGAGGCCTCTATACGATTGCCGTGTCATTGCGACTCCCCAACAATGGGTATTCTAGAACACAGATGTAATCTTCTTTCGGAAGGGTCTAGTTACGGTTGGCAGAAGAAAAACTGTTTTTGTGACTCAATGGCTACCCGTTCCTGGCTGCTGATGCGGCGAGCTTCTGTTGCGGCTTGTCGAGCATAATCTCCGAGAATCCCTGAAAAAAAGGTTTGGGTTCGAATCGATTTTACACAATGTTCCTAGATCCTCGCTTGTGATCAGGCCAGGTCGCCCCTTCCCCTCTTTTGTCATCGCTTTTCAAAAAAAAAAAATAGGCATGGATAGCCGAAATGCGTTGGCTGCGAACGTTCCACAGCGGCAAAGTCTCCGCCACTCGGTCTTCACACGGCTATATGGACCCAGCCGTGTCATGAAGGGTCCAGTATAATTTTGACATTGGATGATTTGGAGGAGTTGTGAAGTGGTGATGTTTTGTGGAATTTGCTACTTTTTCGCAGATGAAGGGACGGCTCGGGACGGCTCCAATGTTGAAAAATGCAGGAGGTGTTGTGGTCCATCGACTAGCGAAACGGATCTACTAAATGAAGGCCTAGGTAGCCGAAAATGTGGCTTGATCTGCGTATTCCCTGTTTTTTTCATCTCCTCTACGCTGCCCAAACGTGAGTCAACGCCTCGTAAGGCCGCCCCAATCAAGATAATCGATTTTAAGGTTATCGCCTACATATACGCATAACCAGTACGGCTTCGGAAATGCGTCATGCAAAAGATCGAAACCGTGATGGATAGTAGGAGATATTTAAGTGGGCAACTGTGGTCTTCAAATACGGTCGTATCGATTTTCCACTTTCTAAAGGGAATTCCGGGATCGGGCCCTGTAGTTGCATGACGTCTCACGCATCCAGGTCTTGAGCATGGTGGTTATAACGGAAAGCCGACGAACATGATCCTGCCCTGGGACCTACGGATGTTTTGGGTGGGCTGATGTAGCTAATGTTGGGGCTAATTTTGACATTCGTTTGAAAGTAAGGTTTTCAATGAGCGTGGATTATTGAGCTCATGAGGTGTGTTTGATGTAATTTATGGATCAGTGACGTTTGGCATCCTCCTTCATGTTTCTTTCTGGAACTCGAGAAGTTCGATAAGACTGAACAATTGTATAGGATCTACACGACACTGGATTAGGCCCAATGTCTCTCATCCAGCGAAGTTATCTCTTATTCGATGTCCTCCTACAAGCATTAGAGGTATCCCAAATGATTCAAAGAATGTATAATCCTAGTAGAGCGGGGATGTAGACTTCTTTTACTTTATTTAAAGCCCTTGCTTACTTTACTGCATTCATGATTGGAATACTGACTCTCGTTCGAGATACCTCATCGTGATCCACCCTCAATCCGTCCAATTCCACAATGGTTGCAAAAATGTCGCAGAACATCGTTAATCATCCACACCACACAACACCAAAATAACCTCATTGAATCATGAAATTTCTCAGCATTCATCTCTTTCTTAGCACAAGACCATTAAATCACCAGAAACCACGGAGGGGTTCTTGGCGTGTGGGTTCCCACGTAACAAGGGGTTCTGTATTCAGCGCGACAATAAAATAGCCAGGTTCACAGCCGCAACTGCTTTCTTCAACATGAGCGCCCTAAAAGACAGGCTCCATCTCAACAAATCCCCCCAATTACCCTTGTACAAAGACAAGCCATCTGCTGCTGCTGGCTCTGCTTTTGTTCCATTGAAAGGCCGTCCTAATCTGAAAAAAGTCATGGTCCTTAAAGCGTTCGCCCTGTCAGTGGTGGTCTACCTTTTCTACCTTTTGATCTCGTCGGCACCATCACCCCGTTCAGCCTTCAGGAAGGACTGGAGTGTAGCAAAGAATGAAGTCAGAGACGTGTTTTTGGAATCCTGGCACGCTTATGAGGATGCCGCCTTTGGCAAGGACGTGTATCATCCCGTCAAGGGAACCGGTGAAAATATGGGCCCTAAACCTTTGGGCTGGATCATTGTGGACTCCTTGGACACCATGTTGATCATGGATGCCCAGGACGAGTTTAAGCGGGCCAAAGACTGGGTTCGGAACGATTTGAACTACCACTTTGACTACAACGTCAATGTGTTCGAGACGACGATCCGTATGCTTGGTGGCCTCTTGAGTGCATTCCACCTCTCAAACGATGATTTGTTCTTGGACAGAGCAGCCGATTTGGCCAATGCCCTTATCGGTGGTTTCAATTCGCCCACGGGACTTCCCTATTCTTCCGTGAACTTACTCAGCGGAGAGGGCCTTAAAAACCATGTCGATAATGGAGCTTCTTCCACAGCCGAAGTTGCAACGTTGCAGCTTGAATTCAAGTATCTTGCTAAGTTGACAGGTGAAGAGTTATACTGGAAGAAGGCCGAGGAGATTATGAAGGTTTTGGATGCCAACCAGCCTCAGGATGGTCTCGTGCCAATTTACGTGAACCCCGAATCAGGTAAATATCAAGGTAGCTTGATCAGAATGGGTTCTCGTGGTGATTCATACTACGAGTATTTGTTGAAGCAATACTTGCAGACCGAACAGCAGGAACCTATCTACTGGAAGATGTACAAGGAATCTGTCGAGGGTGTCAAAACTAAGATGACAAAGAAATCTGAGCCCAACGGCTTGACCTATATTGGTGAACTTCCTCGTGGAGTTGGCGGAAACTTGTCTCCTAAGATGGACCACCTTGTTTGTTTCTACGGTGGTTTACTTGCTCTTGGAGCTACTAGTGGGAAGACATTGAAGGAGGCTCGCCAGCTGCCAAACTGGGATGCAGACAAGGAGCTGGACTTCAAATTCGGTGAAGAGTTGACCTACACATGCTACAAGATGTACGCCGATGTGGTGACTGGCTTGTCACCTGAGATTGTCGTGTTTAATGAAGACGCCACTAAGGAAAGAGACTTCTACATCAAGCCTGCTGATACTCACAACTTGCAAAGACCTGAGACTGTCGAGTCCCTCTACTACTTGTATAAGCTCACGGGCGACGAGAAGTACAGAAAGTGGGGTTACGAGATTTTCCAGAGCTTCATCAAGCACACGAAGGTGGTGAGCAAGAATGGAAAGGTTACTTACAGCACGCTTAAGGATGTGACGAGTCTCAATCCTCTGTTCGGCGACAATATGGAGTCATTCTGGCTCGCTGAAACCTTGAAGTACTTGTACCTTTTGTTTGACGACGAAGACAAGATCCCTCTCGACAAGTATGTGTTCAACACAGAGGCACATCCATTCCCTAGGTTCCTGATGGGTACTTTATTCAAGACTGGCTGGCAACGTTCCTTTGACGACCCCAGAAATGCCGTGAAATTCAGCGACGCTGTGGGCAACCCTGATCAGGCCAAGAAGCATGATGCGGCCTTGGACAAGAAGAACATCCCCAAGGCTGCACCAGCGGCGAAGAAGATCGATGAAGAGGTGCAAGAAGAGGTGGAAAAAGACCCGCTGCTTAAGGAAGAGCCACGGAAGTTTAAGAAGGCTGAACAGGAGGTTCTCCAGGCTCTCAATGGTCAAGCCAAATAATCATAATGGGCGACTCTGCGGGTGCAGACATGGTTGCAAGAATGGCTGCAAACAATCAAACGCGCCATGGAGAAGGCGTGGCGAGACTAGGTGGCTGAGTAACCAGGGATACGGTGAGTTGACGGGCACAAAACATCCACCGAGCCGAGTTTTGATTTACCTTGACGCGTTTAAGGAATATCATACCTTTATATCCGTGACTGCGACACTCGGAAGCTCGATCCCCTTTTGCCTCAGGCTCATCTATCTTGTGTGTCGCACTCAGGGCGGGCCTTTGTCCCATTCGTGTACATAGAGTCTAGGAGGCATGACGTAAGCCTATGAGAAACACCTCACTAAAAAAAAAAAAAAATAGCTTACCTCAGACAGTGATAACGTTAGTTTCTGCACGATCTAAGACTCCCTCGCTCCCACCGTCTCCCACTTCGACACCATGTCCAGTGAAGTATGTACTATCATTTAGGTTATTTGAAACCACCCGCCGAGAGCGCCACCGTTATACCTCTCGAGCCCATGTTGAATTACGTCACACTAACATCCAGCTGAAGAACTCGTTCGACTTAGAGTTGAACCCGTTCGAAAGATCCTTTGCCCCTTCAGATAACCATATTCGTGCTGGTGCAGCTCCACAGGCCCCTACGGGCATGGCTCCCGGAGAGCCACCTTTGCCCAACGGCCAGAAACCCAAGAATATCGAAAAGACTGAAGGAACACCTACACTGCTGGCTTCCTCCAAGTTAGAACATGCTCCCTCGGCCCAGTCTACGGCTACTCTGGCTCTGCCCGTGCCTGACCAGACTGAGAATAAGGAACCTGGATCGGCCGGGTCTAACAAACACAACCTCCGTCTTCTGAACTTCCAGAGCGTTGCTGCCTCTGAAAACCGCTTACCTGGCCTTACGCCTCCTATTTTCACTCCAGGTGGCCGTCGTCTTCCTCCGATCCATCTCTCTCCAAATGCGGCGATGGGAACACCCGAAACTCCCGGATCAAGTCTTTGGAGCAGCTTGCTAAATGCAACCAACGGCCAGGGCGGCCACGAGGGCCAGCAGGGCCTGAACCTGAACTACGCACAGTTTGCCAATATGATGAGAAAGCTGGGACTCACACCCAACGAGCTGAACCTACGCCTGGGCTTCACTCCTGGCGTGGGTCAGCAGACGTTCAACTTTGGTCATATCCCAGGACTCACCCCTGGCGGCTTAAGCAACGGCCAAATGACGCCTGGATTGCTGAGCTTTTTGGGTCTTTCTCATCAAGGCAACCAGGAAGGTCCCTCGAGTCAGAACCAGCCGGTGCACCTCAACCACGCCCCGGTCAGGCAGACACAGCTGTACCAGCCTCCTCCTCAGAGCCGTCCTGCTCCCGTGCCTGCTCCACAACCTTCGGCATCTGCTCCTGCTGCCGGTGCTGCTCCATCTGCTCCCACAGAGCCTGAACCTACTTTCGCTATTCCTACAGAACCGCCTAGACCTATGCCTGTGGTGAAGCAGGAGGAGGATACCAAGGTGAAGGAGCCACCGGCAAAGAAAGCTAAGGCTAACCCTCGGGCCAAGAAGGAAAAGAAGAAGGAAGAGAAGAAGAAGGCGCCCACGCCAGTGGACGAGGAAGAAGAAAAGAGAAAGCAGTTCTTGGAACGTAACCGTGTGGCTGCGTCCAAGTGTCGTCAGCGTAAAAAGCAGCTTTTCCAGAAAATGGAGGATGAGTTGGCCTTCTACTCCACAGGTTACCGAGAGTTGTCTGCGCAGGTGACCCAGCTCAGAGAACAGCTTCTCACGCTACGAGGCGTGGTGACAAGCTTGAAGAACCTGCCTGTGTTGATCAACGCCGTTGGCGGGTACCAGCAGTTGCAGAACATAATTGGCCAGACAGACTACATTGCTCAGGCAGCAGTAAATTCGCAGCCAAATTTCCACCTGATACCCAGCACGATACCCACCACGCTAAATGCTTCTCTGCAACCGCTGCAGCAGCTGTCACCCCAAACCAACAAGGCAGGCATGAAATACATGGGGCCTCAGGGCCAGGCCGCCCCTGAAGAGCAGCCACATATTCAAGGCGACAGACGGCGTCTAGTGCCGGGATCCAACGGCTTGATGCCGTATCAAGATCCCAACGGCGGTCAAAACGTGACGATCCCCGCGGAAGCTCCCGTGGAAGAAGTCCCTCGTCACTTCTCCGGTGAAATGAACGGTATGGCCAACATGCAACCAGTTGACCAAAGCGGACTTCGAAACCTGAGCAGCACCTCAAACTTGCAGAACAAGCAGATGGAGCAGGGGTACCAGGGACTACGAAACGTGGCTTCGATGGCGAATCTCCAGCACTAGATGTTCAAGATTTACGTCATCCCGACAGATCTTACCACTTGTCATTCAAATCCACTACCAGGTGGGGACGGTTTCATGATCTTGTCCTGCCTGATGGGTGCGAAGTGGACAAGGCCCCAAAGTAGTAAAAGTCTGGGGCACTCCACCGTTGAGGCGCGGTACCTGCACGAAAAAAGGTGTCTGAAGAGTGTCTGAAGAGTACTCGCATTTGCTCAAAAACAGCGATCTGCTCTTTACTTATCCGCCTTGATCCCACGCTGTTTTTGGGGCCTCCACAATCCTAGATACATATTTATATAAGAAACACGCTCCCTCCTACCATGGCCCAGGCCAGACCTAAAAGAGACATGTCTCTTCCTCAACTCCCTCCCGCTGCTCAACAGGATGATTCGTCGTCTTCCATCATCCCTCGGGACCAGTTCACCCGAAAACGCATAAAAGACCTCCACAATTTCATTACTCAAGAGCTAAAGAAGAGAGGGACGAAAACTCCTCATGTTTTCCTTCCATTTCGACTGCGTGTGGACGACCAAAAACTTGAACGGTTTCTAGCCACGATATTTCCGAATGGACAGATGATAGACACGCTGAATGAATCGGCAACAAAGCGTATCTTGGCCGGATTTGATGAATTCACGTTAATTTGCGGTCTTAAATACCTTTGGTGCAGACTACCGAACCTGGAGATCATAGGTTGGGACAATTACTTGCATTTTAAGCGCCTCGAGCGTGAACACGGATATCCCAAGGATGCGTTTTTAAGGCTCATGCCCAAATGTGTTTCTACAAGAGCTCACGCTTCTATAGTGTACGACTTCCTTGATCTCCTCGTCAGCATTGCGTCATATTCACAGTATAACTATTTAAGTGGACGCAAAATCTCAAAGATGGCTTCGATGTGGGCCTTTAATAGTATGGGAAATTCAAAGCTGGCGTTTTACGACGCGACGGCATTCAAAGAGAATTCATTTGTTAGCGGTCTAGAGCTGTGGAAGAAAACGTGCATTGGACTCTTTCACTTGTTTCTCGCGTTCCTTAGAGCCATGATGCCAGACAACGAAGACCAACTTTTCAAAGGCCCGAAATCCTTACAATCATTACTTAGCACAAACTCATACCCGCCACCTGAGAACCTGGACTCCATCAAATCCGTCATCACCATCCCATGTGTACACGTCAAGACGACCCGGAGAAGTTCGGATCCCTACGCATTGATTACCAAGATACGACAGAACCTCAAGTTCGATCGGAAAGATGAATTTGTTTCCGTGGAAAACTACACCATCCTAAAAAACATCTTTTTGAAGGACTCGACCAACGAAATCATCTCGACGCTCACGGATGAGTCTCGGAGAATCTTGACTAGAATAAGTGACAACCCAATCCCCTCGAACTACGATCTCTACCCGGGTTGGACTAAGGATGGGCCACCACAAGATCCCGATATTCCTTTGTTTTCGGAGATATCCATCACAAACGTTACCCTACAAGACTACTACATCTGGACCTGGCTCTCATCGTTGGCTTCTGATCAGTCCAGCTACGCCAAAGCCTTATTTGGAAGATCGATCGTGGTTGAAGCTGGCTTGCGTGGATTCCAGAAATGGTTAATTTTGACGGAAACCTCCATTAGTTCAGATGAGTATATCTCTCGCATGAAGGGCTCCGAGAGACAAAGATCGAAATCACCTCTCAGAAGGGAAAAGTCTCCTTTGAAGGATCTTCCGCCACCTCCTGGATCCTCGAATGGCTTGGCTCCACCACCCGTCTCTAAAAATGGCTTACTTCCGGAAGTGAGCTTTCAGGAAGAGCCTTTTGGGATGGAGCAATATACACATGAACCAGATCATTATGAGGGCAAGCCCTACCAAGGCCGTATTGGTCATCCAAAGCCTGCCGATGACTACAGCCAGTACATGAGAGGTTTGAACGATGACGATCATATGGCACAGAACTTCAACGACATGAATATCAACAAACAAAGTGGCGGTCAGCAAAGACCCCGTCCCCCACCATTGGACCTTCTGCAACAGGAACAGCCTTTGAATGTCAAGAAAGTGCATAAAAGGTCAAAGGAACCGAACGGGCATGGCAATGGTCACAGCAATGGTCATTATAATCCCGAGCACTCTGGGTTTCCACAAGAGCAGTACCCTCAAGAGGCATTGCAGTATTCCGCAACACATCCACCACAAGACTATAGGGAACCTTACGACAATTATACCACGTTGCATGATAGGCCTGAAGAGCCACAGTCTACGGAGCCATTTGACAATTACTATGTTCCAGGTTCTCATCATGTCTCCCAACCAAAGGAGGCGAAGGCTGTCCATGACTCAAGCCATAAAAGTCCAAGGCGCAAACATCAGGATCTACCTCCTGCTCCAATGGATAACCGAGTGCAAGATGGCTATTCAGGCATGCCGCCTGCTCCATATTCACAAGAACCGCCTGCTCCCTACTCTCAGGAGCCTCCGATTTCACACGATCCATATCTGATGCCCACTAGCCGTGCAGGCAATGGTATTCCACATCAACCTCAGGAAGTTCCTCAAACTTACCCTGGCGATCAATACCAGCAGTACCAAGAGAATCACTTTCCACCTCAAAAGGAACTCGACAACTCTCAAATCCCACCACAAAACGGCGAGGCTGTGCCTGAGAAACCGAAGAAAAAGAAGAAGAAAAAGAAGAGTAAGCCGAAGGGGGATTTCGGCATACCAGTTGATCAGTTACCTGACGGTCCTCCGCCGCCTTTGCCTGCTGAACTTTCTCAACAGTTTGAACATCAACCTCAAAATGGAGATTACAATAACGGGCACGGAGCTTTCAATGCGACAACACAGCCACCTCCACCACCTGAAAAGTCTGAAGCAAAGGGACTGCCAAGGCATATTCAGCATCCTCGAGCCGCCGACAAGGACCATCAACCCCATGAGCATCCATTGCAACAAAGTATTCAGATCCCACCTCCAGAGAAAACTCCTCGTGGTACGCCAAGCAAGTCGTCTCTTCCCAAAGGAGTGTCTCATCATAATGGAATGAGTCTGGCTGGTCGCTCTCAAGAAAGATTGCATAGTCGAACGCATGAGGCATATACTGGTAGTCCTCCAAAGCATGGTGCCCACAGTTACATGATGCCACAGAATGCCTCTCCGCCTAGGCCACACGAGAAAGATCAAATGAAACTTTCATTGCCTTCCAAGAGTCAGCCGGGGCATCAGATGCCACCTGACCCCTCCCCCACTTACTCCAACGGAAGCTACAATGGGCCTCCATCCCATTCCCCATCACATCACCAAAGTGAGCCATACTCACAAGCACCCCCTACTCATATCCCTAATACTCAACGTCTTCCACCTCAAGAAACTCCAACTGATCAACCTGGTCATCAGAGGTCGCCTACAGGAAGAGGTCCATCGCCCACGTCAGCTTATACCTCACATTCACAGCCAAGATCTCATCATAGCGGTGGCTCTCCTTCAGGACAAGCTTTCCAGGGACAAATGCCTCAAACCCACATGCATCAAGATCCAATGGCTCCCGGACAGATGCAACATCAACCATCATATTCGGGTTCACCTATGCATCAACAACCACCCGGACACATGATGTCGCCGCTGGCGCAATATGCTTCTCCCCCTGTTCAGCACATGCCTCCTCAGGGTCAACACATGCCTCCTCAGGGTCAACAAATGCCTCCTCAAGGTCAACAAATGCCTCCTCAAGGTCAACAAATGCCCCCTACAGGGCAGATGCCTCGTATGCCATCGCAGCAAATGCCTCAACAGATGCCAATGCAGCAGCAAATGATGCCTCAACAACAGATGATGCCTCCCGGTCAGCCTTATTACTATCCCCCTCCACCTCCTCAGGGTTACTACCCGCCTCCACAAGGATATGGCTATCCACCTCAGCCAATGTATTATCCACCTCCCCCACAAGGTTACTACGGACATCCTCCACCACCACAGCAGCAGCATAAACCCAAGCCAAAGCCTACAACAAGTGAGCTTACCATGATGGGAATGCCTTCTGTTGGTGCCAAAGGTAAAAACAAACCTCCGAAGGCGAACTTGAGGGCTGCATTGAACAAGGGAGAGTTTGGTATTTAAAATTAATGCATTTGCAGACTAAACGTTCATTTAGAAATAAATAAGCTAGCGTCACCGTTTCGGTGACGGGATAAATAAAATAAATAAGTTGCAATCAGTATTCTGACAAACGCAATTTCCTTTCAATGTCACGAATAGAGAAGCCGCTGTCCATGCGGTGCATAAATGGAGGTTCAGGTGATTGCCCTCTTGATTTGATATCCTCCTCACCCATATCAAAGTAACCGTAACCACCCAACAAGGTACTCAAAGAGTCCTTGACTGGAGCTGGCTGTTTGGTAACAATCTTTGGTGAAAAGTATGATTCACTCTCCTCAATCTTCGTGTCGATTGGAGCGTGGATTTCTGCTGCCTCGTTGACTTCCTTGAAGATACGGTAAACCTCATCCAAATAGGACTCCAATGTGACAAGGAACCGGCTCGTTTGTCTGTGCTTCGAAGAAGCACAAATGGAGATGGAGTCGTCTTTGATGATGTAGCCAATACCAAACCCGTTGGCGCTGACCGGTCCGAATCCGAAAAGTCTCAAGGAAGGGTTACCACAATTCGAAGTAGAGAGGATAGTGTTATTCAACCTATCCCATCCGTTATCAGCAAAAATTGCAGGCAAGTCTGCCAATTCGGACTTCACACTGGGCTCGTTGTTGCCACCGACAGTATGCTCGGATGAATCGCTCTGATGGTCTGCCACAATTGTGTCATCCTCTTTCATGCTTGTAGCGCCATACTCATTGGGAAGTTCGCCACTCACATAACGTTTCCAGACGCAGAAAAGAGCGAACAAGTGTCTGTCGATACCTTCACCATTGGTGCACCTCTTTGTCTGCTCAGAATGCTTCTTGCAAGCATCTGAGAGGTACTTAAGCTTCTCAGAGCTAGGCATGTTAGGGTCAAAGAACTTACGCACGAAAAGGTTGGACTCTTGACTGACAGTACGCACAGCCTCGGTTCTGCCATGATAAAAGTGCTTTGTCATAGCTGGCTCGTAAGTGCACTCGACCCTGCCATACAAGGCGTAGTAAGTAGCCTGGAAAGCCATTTGAACGAAAGCATCAGGAGAGAACTTCATCTTTTTGATGGTAGATGAGCCGTAGCTCTTGAACTCTAAGTGCTTAAACTCATTCTGATTGATCAAGTCGGACAACCTTGTCTCACCGAAACGCAAGGCAAGGGACAAGTCTGGCGTCAAATCCCATTCGAGCTTTCTAGGAATGGTGACTAAGTCTGTGCGTCCTTCGTTTGAGTTGGACCTCGCTGCCAGGTCGGAGGTGTTCCACAAGGATGGAGCATTGGAATTGATAGACTGAGCAAACGACAAAATGGAGTCAGTGTAGATGTCAGACACGTAACGCAAAACGGTGTGACCGTCAACACCAGTATGTTCGAAATTGATTCCGGCTTTACCGTTTTGCGTGATTATGATCTGAAGCTTGTCGTACCATCTATTGGTACAAGTACCGACTTGGACACCATTGTCGACAATTGACAAACCACACAACATGTTCTTTGCCAAATCACTCAAGTCCAGCAAAACCAAATCATCAAGACAGATAACAAAGAGAGCAGAGTCGACGATGGACAAGATCTCGTTGTTATTGGGGTTGTCCAAGATGGTGGGAGAGTGTCTAATTCTAGCCCACACTCTTCTATTCTCCGTGGTAAGAACACCAAAGGAGGATTTTGCAACTTCATTGGAAGGAGTCTGGAGTGAGTCTTGAATGATCGATGTGAAATTGATGGTCAAATCTTGCTCAGACAAGAGTAAATTGTTCTCGGTATCCAAAACGTCGAACCAATAGAATTGAGACTTGCTCATGACGACAATATGGTTTGAGTTGTTATCCGATTGCATCACGCAACCATCCTCTGTTGGGATTCTGGAGGAGCCGAAGAGCTTCTTGTACTGGTACATGCAAAGTGGTTGGCCGTTCTTGAGGGTATCAGTGGGCAAGGTTTCGTTTTTCAAAGCCCTGATGAACTTCAAGGACGAAAGAGTCAATGAAGCAGCTCTCTTGACCTGTGGATTGACACAAGTTGTTTCGTTATTGAACGGATCATCTTCCAACAAGAAGAAAGGGTTCAAGTTAAGCACCACGGGGGAGTCGTAGTTCAAGTACGAATCATACCAAAACTGTTCAATGTAGGAAGCTCTGGACTTGGAATACTTCCTCAATTCAGCATCCAAAAAAGCACCAGACCCGTCCTCCAAGAACCGCCTCACCGCCTCTTTGGTCTTCTCATGCTCCTTTTCAGTTTCCAAAGGTTTTAGAGCATTGAGATAATTTTCACAAGTCTTTTCAAGCGGCGGAATGGGCAACCGTTTGAGGGTATGCTGTTGTGAAAACGTGGACATAAAAAATGATGCGGTTTAGCGGTGGGGGAGAGGGTGCTTATATATTCCTGAGACTCCGAAATCTGGGGAATATGACCTCATAGGTGGTGGTACTGCACCCCCACTCATCTACAGCCAATAGATGTGCCGAGAGAAATAATACAATTAAAGCGATAACCAACTGTGGTGAATATTATTGATCTATCTATGATGGGTCTTCATTAACATCTTATTTGCTGAATGAAAAAACCCTTTTTCTTGCTTTCTGAATAGATGCATTGTGGAATTGGCGGTGCGGTGCAATTGTGATTTGCAGGAAGGCCCCACAAAAATGCATCGGTGCGGGTGGAAGGGCCCTGTCCCGTGGGGCTGAAAAAACCAAGAGCCATTTATTGGCTGAAGATTCAAACTTTTAAAAAATATTGTAATCAGCAGTTGAATTTGTTCTATCTTTTGCGTGCAGCGGTGTGCGACTTCTGCCGCCACGCTTCCTCGGCGATGAGAATGCCCAGGTTCCGAAAGTCCAAACACCGAGATGCTAAGGAATCAAGGAACACATATCCTCGGACTTTGGAGCCACTCATAAAAGGCGAAACATTTCTTCAGCCTCTTGGGGCAACGTGGCTTGGTGGCAGTGTTTGCTCGGGCCGAGGAAGATTTGTCTTTTTAGCCGAGAATTCTGGATCTCGTTGCTGCCCAATGAAAAGTGGTACCCCCAAAACCCGAAACGCTCGGTGTAACTTTTTCTTGATTGAACGCCTCATTACGACAGAACATCAGGCACAATGCTTCAATCCCTTTACCTCCCCGGCTGGCATTTTTCTCTTTGGCCGCCTGCTCGGACATGCGGCTGGGCTTGTCAGATCTCGCAGATCTGACACCACAATGCACAGTGAGCAAATGGTGTTAAACTCTTCACGATCTGCAAAAAAACAAACTCCTCTATAAGCACCAAGAAGACTTGTAGCCGATGGGACCGTCTAATAGCCAGCAGCAATACCTCTTTTTCTCCAGTGATCGCTTACACCTTCCCACACATCACCCACTCTCTTTATGGCGTTCATCGCCGTCAAAGCTCCAGACTCGTAAAGCGTATGGTTACGCAGCTCTAGCTGTTTGACCACAGACTGATCAAGCATCTCGATATCTTCAACCATGACAAACTCTGGGATAAGTTGATGGTGCAATCTGGGATACAGGATGGTCTGGAGTAGCGGAAGCTTCTCGTAAATGGAGCGAACAATCGCTTGGAGGACTGCGGTCACAATACGAGACCCGCCAGCGGCGCCAATGAGCATGAAGAACTCCCCATTTTTTTTGATGATGGTAGGTGTCGTCAGAGACAATGGACGCTTTCCTGGGCTGATAAAGTTGTAAATGGAAGGAGTCAAGTTGAAAGCATTGCTGGTGCCGGGCATAGAAAAGTCGTCCATCTCATCGTTAAGAATAACGCCTGTTTCGTTGTCATAAACCAGCGAGCCAAAGATCAAGTTGACGGTGGTTGTCATCGAAACAGCGCCACCGTTGGCATCTACCACCAGGAAATGCGAAGTGCCCTTGGGTTCAGTAAGCTGAAACTTTGGTTCATAGTGGTCCCACAAAAAAGTCGTATTGTTGGAGTACTTTCCTTGCCTCAAGAGATTTTGCACCCATTCCTGCGACGAAAAACGCAGGACGAGACCCTGGAAAAATGTCGCGTTGTGGTCGCCCAAATTGGACCGCACACTAGCGGTCCATTTCATGGCCTCTACTAATCTGTGCGCAGAGAGACCAGTGTTTGGTGCCAGTTTCTCCAAAACAGAATAAAAATTGAGACCAGCAATTAATGCAAGCCCGGAAGAAACGCCACCTGTTGTGGCTAGTTCAAAATTATCTCCCTCGGCGTCGAACTTGTACCGAAGTGCCTTCTCTATCTCAGGCTTATAGGCGGCAAAATCATCTGGGGTAACCACACCTCCACACTCACTGGCGCGCAGGGCCAATTTGGGTGCAATAGGTCCATGAGGGTCGTAGAAAATGGCACTAGATCCATTTTTGGCAATGAGTTCCAACGTATTAGCGTATGCTGGACGCGTAATCCAATCGCCGGTGTCCACAATTTCGCCATCATTCTTGAAGATAAAATCCCACTTCTCTTTGAGTAGTGGGATCCTCTGCAAAAGGTCCTTGTGGATGCGGTGCAACGAAGAAATCCAGATCTCCTCAGCAGCCCAGCCATTTCTGTTAAGCTCAACCACAGGTTCGATCAACTCGGCCCAAGAGAGATTGCCCGAACCATGAGATTTGTGTAACTCAAAAAGACCTGCCAATTCACCAGGAACCGCGACTGCCAAACCGCCAAACTGAGCCAAAAGCGGGAAGTGTTCATACATGTACTTGTGAGCCTTCAGTGGCGCCGTTTCTCTGGCGTCAATGCTGATCGTCTCGTCATCTTTCCATGAAACTATGAAAGCACCTCCACCAATACCTGATGAGTGGGAGTTTATCAGACCGAGACAGAGCGCCACAGTCACGGCAGCGTCAGCAGCATTTCCATCTTTCTGAAGAATTCTTGTACCCATCTTCGAGCAAATCTCCACATCCAGTGCTACCATGGCCTTTTCGCCTTTTTTGAGGTAATCCGCCAGTGGATCTAGACTAGGGTGACCGATCTTGTCGCCGACGGGGTCATCTAGAATATGTGGTTGCAGTGGGACCTGCGGATCCGGAACAGCAAAGAACACGAGGGCAATAAGTGTCAGAACTGTTAGCGCTTTAATCACATATGCCCATTTTCGAAAATCGGGCTTTTGGGAAGCATATTCCGTCTTCTCCAGGAAAGACATAGTGGTATAGATAAGAAGCGATAACGTCAAGTGCGGTTCAATGTGCACTCACTGTGGATGTGTGTCGTACAAGATTTACGTTCTAGAATCGATGGAGGGAAAGGAGGAGCTAAATAAGAGCATGTTTTGGTGAATGAAACATAATTGAATGGCTGTAGGAGAACCCTGGCATGATCTGTGAATGTTAGGTGTTTCTTGGAGCTCGCGTAATGGTTGCAAAACCGTTGACGCAGTGGCTTAAAACGGATACTGACTCCTACTATACTGACTGAAAGAGGTGGCAGTTCAAGGGCGAAGATCATCAATAACGAAGAATGATTGCCTCGTTGAAGGTCTTGTTTCCCTCGTTGTAGAGATATGCAACATCGTTCATTGACTGTAGCAAGTACTATTCACGGATACACGATCCCTTGGCCAGTGAATCCTTAAAACTTAATGGCGTGAAACTTTAGCTCAAAAAAGTCTAGCCGAGACTGTTTCAAAAGTCTATTGGATCCAGACCATCATAAATGCTTTAACCTAATTCAACCCCACACTAACTGGCGCACTCTATACAATCGAATCCATTGCTCTCTCGAGGCCAAAAGTCCTAAAATCGTGACATTCAAGCAACTTCAGTTAAATTCCACTTCGAAGCACTAGACCGCCTCACAATAGCCCCTCCGTTGTCGCAAATAGTCTCGAAGCTTATTCTGCTGCACAACCTGTCCTGCCTGAGTCCATCGCACCATCTCCAGATTCCTCCCACAACCACTTCTTCATCATGGGAGACCCGCCAGAGTTCCTGCCACTCAACTCCGTGCGTAGCCACGAAGACGATAAGTTGGTCAATTCTATCCTACCGTCGTACCACATGTTTCAAGCCACAATACGAAGGAAAATGGTGCCTCAAGAGGAGAATTTCAAAGAGGACCCTCCCACTTACGAGATGTCGCCACTTCATTCTGCCGGTATAACCCCGGTTCCCTCGGGCATTCAGTCACCACAAAGTGAAGGTGCCTTCAATGCTTTCCCATTCCCGATCCAGGATTCTGAGGATGATGATGAGACATTCAACCAGAGAAGTGCGGATCTATGGGAACAGACGGTCCTAGCAAACGTCCACAAGCTCGACCAGTTGAGCGAAAAGAACCCAGCTTCGAAAAACTTGAATGTCAAAGTTCACATAACAAGCGCTGTCTGTCAAAAGGGTGTAAAGCCCAACATCATTGATATCTCAGACTACGAGTTCAAGCAAGGCGACTTTATCCATGGCTACATTACTATCCAGAACACATCCACTGAGCCTATTCCTTTCGATATGGTTTACGTTGTATTGGAAGGTGAATTAGCCGTGGTTCAGGCAAACCGAGGTCCCGGTGAACCCTTTTACCAACCTACAGTATTCAAGTTCCTCAATATGTTGGATCTTTTCGCCTCGTGGTCCTACGCCAATATTGATAGATTAGCCACAGATAATGGTGACCCTCATGATTGGTGTTACGGAGAAACCGACCCCTACGATAACACCGTGCTTTCCATAGACGTCAAAAGGCTTTTTCAACCCGGAGTCACGTACAAACGCTTCTTCTCCTTCAGACTTCCTGAAAAGCTTCTAGACGACAACTGTGAAATCCACAGCTTAGACGTTCATTGCCAACCTCCTCCAAGTGTTGGAAATCCAAGAAGTCTCAACGTTTACGCTCGGACAAAGCCTGAGGTGAACGACCAAAAGCTCAAAGATTTCTCTCTTATAGACACTTTTGCAAGCTATAAAGTGGCCGCCAGAGTTATTGGACGAGCATCGCAATACCTTAATCGAGTTAACAAGGACAGGTATATTCTTGCTGCCGACGTTAACCTACCGTTTAGGGTAATTCCGTATTCCGCTCGACCCGACTACCGGGAACAGTGGGATCAGCAGGTAAGAGCCCTGTTCAAGGCTTTTGTGGAGCTGGTTGAAGAAAAGATCAAGTATGGCAAGCAAGTATTGCGCTCGCGGGACGACGCAAACTCGTTAAAGAGTATCTCCAACTCCAGCACCACATCATTATCCAACAATCTCACCCCAATTTCATCGGCTTTGCACCCTGTAAGACTGGGCCTGGATCAGGAAAAGCTCAGGCAGCTTTATCGGGTATCCGAGTCAATGACAGGTAAAAGTACCTCGGTGAAGGTGAACGACTCGGCCGTATATCTGCATTTGAGTCCATTCAAGAAGAAGAGCTTCACAGGCTCCTCAAAGGTGCTCGGAGTTTTGTCGTTATCGACCCCAAAAACGGAATATGCCATTTCCTACGTCCCACCTCCACGGTTCAGGAACCCGATGCAAAATTACGAAACAAAAGTTCGTATACCGTTAGACTTGACCTACTCGTTCGAGAAGTCTCCTACTAATCAAATTCCCCCGGAGCCAAAGAAGATAAGCTGCGAATTGGTAGTCTTGACTGCTCGCTCCAAGAAACATTTTATTCCGGTTGAGATGAATCACGATATGTGCTTCCGTGAACAAGTAGTAGATGATCTTGATGTGAAGAATCACGGCGATGAGTACGACAATCTAGACTCCATCGTTATACGTCCCTTCAACGACTATTACAACACTATTGTCAAACTCATAAAGAAGATTGGCTTTGAGAGCGATGAGTTCAGAGTGGAGACACAGCTCTTCAAAGACATCAAGAGTTTGGCAATGCTACAGACAAAAATTATAAACTTGGTGGTTCCCGATGTATCCATTGGTTCCAGTACAGACAAGAGCAGAGGTGTCTATGAGCTGCCGGCCAGTGTCCCTTGGGTACAAGCCGATTCATCTCACTCGCAGTATAATATCTACACGAAAAACATCGAGCTTCTTCTCGATGTGAACAGCTGCCATATGAAGGGAACGAGTCCTCCTTCCCCAGGAAAGTCCGCTTTTGACTATATCTGTCTCGTCCCAGATTTCCAGCAGTGTCTTATGGTCCGTTTCTACTACTTCCGTATTTCTGTGAAGTATGGAAATGGACTCGTGCAGCTGGTAAATGTACCAGTGGCTGTTAACTGCTAATGTATATAGGTTATCGCATATTTGGCTGCAAATTCTACGCATCATGTATGGCATACAAGATTTAAGCATCGAGCTCACCAACTAGAAACCACAAGTCTTCAGCATGAAAATAGAGGAGATTTCTCCAGAGGACAGAGTAATCTCTGAATGGGAAAGAAGACGCTACAGGCCCAAGCCAGGTGAGCCCGAGTTGCCTCCTCAGCTTTCAGACCTAGCACACAAGTCCACCGATGAGGTTTTGAAGGAAATCAACCGTTTACCATTTTTCATGACCGAATTGGACGAGACGGACGGAGAAGGTGGACAAAACGCTAGCTTGGAGGCTTTGAAAACTTTGGCATATGATGGCGAGCCCGATGAGGTGGCCACCAACTTCAAGAACCAAGGTAACGAGTGCTACAAAGCTAAGCAATATAAGAATGCTGTTCAGTACTACACTCAGGGACTTGATGTGGAATGTAATGACGATAAGATCAATAGTGCATTGCTTGTTAACAGAGCTGCCTGCAATCTAGAATTGAAAAACTACCGTATGTGCATCGAAGACTGCAAGAAGGTGCTTCTTATGGATGAGAACAATATTAAAGCATGTTATAGAGCAGGACGTGCTTTCTTTGCAGTCAACCGCTTTGATGAAGCAAAGCAGGTGCTTCAGTACGGATTGACCAAGGACCCTGAAAACCTTTCCATGAAAGATGTGTTGACGAAGATCGAGGAGAAAGAGAACCAGATCAAGGCAGCTATTGAGCGCAAAGAGAAGGAAACCCAGCTCAAGCAACAACAGGAGCTTGTTTTGGCTAGCGCCATAACGCTAAGAAAGATCGAAATCATAAAGTCATCTAGACCAGCTGAGCTTCTAGAAGACACAAAGATTCGTCTTGAGGACCCATTGGACTACGAGTCACAGCTTATCATTCCTGCCATGATCCTCTATCCCACGACCGATGAATTTGACTTTGTCGCTGAAGTTGGAGAACTTTCCACGCCGGCGGAGGTTTTAGAGATCGTCTTGCAAAGGCCTCAGGAATGGTTCGAGGACCCTAGACATAAAAACTTCACTCTCAAGAGCTTGGAGTGCTACATGGAGACAGTTAGTGGAGGTTTGGTGAAGGTGGGTAAAAAAGCGCCAGTTAATAAGGCATTGATGGCAGAGCAAGCGAAGGCTCCTCTTTTCGACAATGGCTTGAGGCTCTACGTTGTGCCAAAGCAAGAATCAGCAGCCTGGTTGGGCAATTGGAACAGGGAGGTTGCATTGGCTAAGCGCCAAATGTGATGCAGCATTAATATTATAAAATTATTTTTTGTCGCCGGATGTAGACTCGAACACCTCGTCCATGCGTAAGTCCGAGACTTCGCCAAAGATCTCGGCAGGGTTGAGTTTGTGGTTACTCTGGATAAGCTTCTGGAGTTCTGGAGTGTTCGCCCAGTTTTTGAAGTATTTCTGCTTTTTTAAAGATTCGTCATCAGAGGGAATTTCAGGAAGTGCATCTCCTCTTATTGCAGGGCTTCCAGAAACGCCCACTCTGATGGGCGTCTTTGTGGATCTACCACTGGGTCGTATTGGTGTTCTCTTTTCCTCGATCTTGGGCTTCTCCTTAGCACGTTCTCTCACGAAGCGGCCCCTAGCAGCTTCGGGCAAAGGTTGGGCGTTGCCAACTGCAGCTCTTCTTCTGGAAAGGCCGACAGATTCGGTCTCGCCCAATTTGCGAATCTTGTTGGAAGCTCTAGCCTCATCTCTTGATGGCAGTGGTTCTCTCTTCACGGGACTGGGGGCTCTCTTTCTTGGTGGTGACCTTCTCGTTGCTTGTAAACTCTTCTTTGACTCATTAAAATTATTGCCCAGTGGGGGCAATGCAACCTTGTTTGCGGCAAGCTCATTCATTCTCATTCTCCTTTCCTTCAACTCAATGCGCTCCTTCTCGGCATCGGTATCCAAAAACCGTTTGATTGGTGAAGGGTTTTTGATTCTTGTCTTGACTGGGTTGAATTGAGGAGGCTGTTGTGGATTTAGCGTTGTTGTAAGAAACTTGTTTTGGGATCGTTTCTCCTTTCCCAATTTTTGGGCTGATTTAGTCAAGCCAGTCGACGAAGGTGCCATTTGAAGTCCTTCTGAGAGTTTGGTTCCACCAGGGGTCGATGCCGACGCAGACGTTGCAACTGAATATCTTCCCGGCTCGTCGCCACTCAATTCACCATTTCCATATCGTGTTGGGGATCTCGAGCTTGGTGCACTTGATAATTGCGGAACTTTATCTGGAGAAGTTCTTCGAGAAGCTCTCAAGGGAGACCTTTGTTGAACGGTAGGTGTTTTTCGAGGGGAGATGGTGTTCTTCTGTAATGCCTTGACGGGAGATCTACTCCTGGATCTTGGCTTACGTTCACTCGTTGACAAACGGGGTGGACCGTGTTGTGGAGAGCCGAGATTTGTAGTTCGAGAACTTTGCGAGCTCCCGGGCTTGCTTCTAGACCTCATCGATGCAGCATACAATGGAGAGCTGTGCTTCGTGGGTGACCTGGATGAAGCCGCTCTAGATAATTTGGTTTTCGTCTCTGAATCTTGAAGAATTGTGTCGGAATTTTTTGTGGGTTCAGCAAGAGATGCTTTGGCACCCGTGGGTTTGGAAAGGCTCTTCGTTGAAGGTGCATCTCTTCTATCATTTGTGATGTCGACAGGAATTTTGGAGGGTCTTACGGACGGCTGATTTGCCGCCTGAGTCAATGCCAGATTGACAGTAGGTATCGACTTGTCAGGTTCTTCGACCTTTACCTTGATGGATTGTCGTTTGTTGGACAGATAGGATATTGGTTCTCTGGAAGGTAGCGACACAAATACAGATGTACGTTTGGAGACACGGTTGGTGACAGAGGGTGCTGTTTTCGCTGTCAGTAGAGATCCGCTGTCACGAGAGCGCATCTCATCACTTTCTTGCTTGATTCTGACGTAATTCTTGCCACTAGATCTCCGTGAATACCCCAGAGAATTCTTTTTCGACAGACCAGGTGACTGTGCCGCTTGCTCAGACTGGCCCATGGAAACCTTGCCTGCAAAACTCTTACGGATGGCACTGCTGATCGCCTGAAAAGATGTATCACTGACCTCTGAATCTGAGTCTTCGACCTTCACACGTACTGACTTCTGCTCCTTTGGTGGTTCCTCAAGTTGATTTGGCTTGTCAGAAGTCAATTGAGGCGGACTTGTCGGCTGTTCCTGATGTTCAATCTGTTCTTGTGATATGCTTTCATTCTCCGGTTCTTCTCTTATCTCTAATTTGCTGATCCTTCGCAGAAGATTTGGCAGAGATGCACCCACAGGGGTCTCTTCTGGAATATTCGTGGCACTGGATATCTGATCTGGCAAGTTTGCCTTACCATTGCTTTCCTCTATGTTGACGGCATTAAATTGATTCTCTTCATCCTCCTCCTCTTTCTCGCTTGGCTCTTCCTCGTCGACATCTGCCTCGACTCTAGTAGGCTCCTTCTTCACAGGTTCAACTGTAGAGGCTCTTCTCATCCCCTTATTCTCATTCTCCTTTAGCTCGTCTCGAACCTCAGACCTGATGGCCTCTGCTAGCAGTAGTGTGTTCTCGAACCTCTCAGTCTTCACCGTTGTCAAGTCTGGAGTAGCGGACCCGCCAGCACTCCATAGTCGTGATGAGGACTCATCCATGCTCGACTCCACCGGAACTGACTCTAGCTTCGTCGACTCCATATACTCCACGTGCAGAAGTACCTTTTCCTTGTCTCCGTTGTTCAAAAGATCAATGAAGGAGTTCAAATCGGAAGCCAACGGACTGATCAGCTCTTGCATCGAAGCCACACCATCACGGGTTTTTTGCACGCCGTGGTGGAGCTCTGAGGCGTTGAATCGAGATGAGCCAGGGAACAATGGTTTTCGTTTCCGTCGTGCAGCCTCCGTGGCCCACAAACACGAGCTCATGAGGCAACAGTAGCAGTGGTTATTATGGTGAGGCGCGTAGTGCGAAGAAGCATCAACACACTGAGACCACAGATGAGGTTTAATCTGGGAGGAAATGTTTGGAAAAGTTTTTGAGAGATTTCAGTTTATTTTTGTTCTGCTTTATTTCGTTCGCCTAGGTATTTTAAATTCTGATCCGATCTTAGATTTTCGAATGTAGGGTACTGGGTCTGACTGTTGCAAGGTGACTCGAGACTACTCAGGTATACTGCGATACACAAGTATAATTAGTGACTGCTCATGAAGCTATAAAACTAATGATAGTCTAGAATCAAGACTAATGACATTCTTTTCAAGGTAGTGCTGAGCCTTGTCATACTTCACTACGACACATTGCAATAGCACTCTCTACTTTCAGAAAGGAAAGCTTCTTTCCTTCACCACACCCGTATTCTATGCAAACATGCAGCAGCTACATAGATCCCCATAACGTTGGTCAACCTACAACTCAATTGTCTACCCCAGTTCCATGTCATACGTTATTTTTCCATACGAGACACCCACCTAAAAGTAACCCCATTTCTTTGGAGCCGTTTATTTCCGATTCGGCCAGACGCCACTCAAAACCAGATAGAGTTTGTGCCCTGTGACTGAGCATCTTCTCCACAACCCCAGAGGTCACTCCACATAAAACGGGGAGATCCATAAAGCTTATATGAAGCAACACTTAAAACTCGAACACAAGACAAACTTTCTGAGTAACTTACAAAATTGTAGAGGTGCAGCGGCGGTGTTTCAAGAGGTCAAGTGAGCCCAGGAATCCGCAGAGGCCCCCGCTGCGGCACAAAGGCGGGGTGCCATACGAAAATCGAAAGATTTTAAAAAAACTTCAATCCACGACCCATCGAATCGTGTCCTTCTCTTTCGTTTGATAACAAATGCACCCTTGTTTGGTCGTGGCAGTGGAAACGGTGTGATTGGTCTCTTGGTTGCAAAAAGCCGTTTGAACCAAGACATGGCGCGCAGCTTGTGCATTTGGGCGTGCCAGATTCCTGCCACTTTCTCGTAAACGAGATCTCGAAATGCCACAAAGCGGCGAAAAGGGGGAAGGAATTTTTGTAAAAATTTGAGTTTTCAGCTGGTCCAAAAGGACAAGTATGCCAATTTTGAAAAATTATATTAGGCGTTGAGGTAAAATTGTCGCAGGCTGTAACAGGGATGCACCATCTCGATCCGAGATTTCTGCACCTCCCTTCGAAAGTCCGTCTCCGGGGAATACAACACAAAATTCCCTCACATTAAACGAAAGATCCAAAACACGGCTTCTTTAGATCCTTCCTCCACGACCGTCCATTAACAAAATTCCTTTTCTTTGTTCCGTCACCAAAGTGACCCCTCCAACGGGCTCCCTATTGTTAGTGCGCCCGGCTGCAATATGTGACTTCCGAAACAGGCATGGGTATATAAGCAGCATGTCCTGCTCTCGACAAATTTCCCTTTTTTTACAAATTTGTTTGCTATTCTTTCATAAGCCTGGTCTCGGGATTTGTTTTTTTGCCTTTGATTGCTAAGGCACCTTCCCCTCTGGACGGTACTCCGTGGGCCGGCTCTGCTTCCGCTTGACACATTTCCTGCGCCGTGTACTCCACATTCGAGCCCGCAGGCATCTCGATTTTATCCTTCAGCAACCACTACACGGCTTCTTCAAAGGGCGCATATTCTCAGGGCATTCAAACCATCCAAACACGTAAGTCCCTCCCGTTACGCCGCCAAGAAGTCCTATATCTCCTCGTCCCATGGGCCTATTTAACAAGTCATCGAGACATGGCTCATCTCCGATGAACAACAGCGCCTCGTGGTCCCATACATCGCTGAGGTCTTCCAACTCATTTTCTTCGGATGAGTCGCCTACTCAGGCCGGGCCACAGCCGTTGGTCTCTCCAGCGTACGAAGATGTGCCCATGTGGAACATCCTCCCCTCATACCAACTTTACGAGACCACCTTCTCCCAGCACGTGGAGCCCACTTCCGACGACAATCTCCATGATCCACCTATGTACGAGATTGCATCGGGGCCCTCTTCCTCAGAGGAGGGGACTCACGACGGTGACTACTTTCTGCAGCCTGCCAACAGAGGCGTGTTCACGAGATGGGAGAACAGTGTTTTGGGAAACACCCACAAGCTCAAGAAATTACTGAGTATAGCACTGCATCATGCAGAGAGTTTACGTATAGACATAAAACTCACAAGAAAGCCTTGTCAGATTGGCGTTGCCCCTGACGTTATAGATGCTACCAAGATGGAGTTCTCCCAGGGTGACTCCATCCATGGTTTTGTGACCATCCAAAACGTTTCGAAGCAGGAATTTTCTTACGAAATGTTTTCCGTGCTTTTCGAAGGACGGGTTTCTGTTAATGGAGACGATCCAAATAAACAGGCGGTCTTCTACAAGTTCCTCAATATGCTTGACTACAAGGCAGCATGGACGCCAGCGTACTTTGTGGGTGATACCTCGCAGACCACAGAAATTGATCCTGTGGACGGCTCGAATTTGATGCTTCTGAGCGACAAAAAGTTTATTCCTGGCGTGATCTACAAAAAGTTCTTCGATTTCACTATTCCTGAGAAGCTTCTCGAATCCGCTTGCGAGATTCATGATCTCCCCTGTCATTGCGAACTCCTTCCATCAATTGGTCTCGACAGAGAACAGTTTTTGCAAAGTTTGCGTAAGCTTCGTGAAAAATCCGCCGCTTCACCAAAGCCAGCGAAACCTTCGTTTGGTATCGGAGCTCCTCCTGAACCTTCAGCTACACTTAAGAAGCCACTCCCGACTTCTTTGGGTCGCAAACCTACTCCAAAGAATTTGCGTGTCAAAGACTTTTCGTTTCCTGACACTTCCGTGAGTTACTGTGTGGAGGCTAGGATCTTCGGAAGACTTTCATTATACAACAAGGACGCCACCAAAGACAAGGATGAATTCATCATCTTGAAAGACTCCAACTATCCTGTAAGAGTCATTCCCAAAAATACAGGTATCAGAACCGTGGAACATGAAAGAGCCGCTCAACACTACTACGATCTGTTCGTTCGTGAGGTAAAGGCTTGTATCGAAATTGGTAGGTCCTTGGATGGTAAGAGTGACAACCTTGCAAGGAGGCCATCAGTTTTGAAGAACAAGCAACTTTATACCAGAGAGAGCTTTGAAGATGTCACTGCCAGAGCCCAGGAGAGTCTGATGTATGAGATTTTCTTACCTTTTAAGAAGAAGTCGCTTACACAGCCTGCTAAAGTTATTGGCATGCTTTGTGCCAAAACTCCCAAAAATGAGTATGTGGTGAGGTACCAGCCCCCTTACACTTACCAGCCATACACGAAACAGAACGTCACGTTGGGTCGAAACTTCACTGTGCCTCTTGACTTGACGTTTCTGTTTGTTGAAAACAGCGGTGTTAATCCAAAAACTCACAACCCGCCCGATATTCGAAGTGTCAACGTGGAGCTTGTTCTCTGTACTTACCGCTCACGTAAGTATCCAATTCCCGTCGAATTCACAAAGCATATGCAATTCCGGAACAAACCATCCAGCGACTCTCTCGAGACCTACGTTATGCAGCCCTTTTCTACGTATTTGGCTGAATTGTCGAAGTTATCTGAGCGCTACACCCACCAGGAGCTCAACCTAGACAACCAGATGGTGATGGACATCAAGTGTCTTGCGAACATTCTGACTAAATACAACAGCTTTAAACTCGACAACGTCAAGTGCGATGTCCAGGGAAGTTGGAAAACCGCAGACACCAAGGGAATGAAGTTCCTGAAGAAAATTGGTGTTTCGATCAACCTTGATGGCCTCTTCAATAAGGAGGTCAACAGGCTGTCTGACGATATTCTGTCCGAGGCTGTCTGCCTAGTGCCTACCTTTCAAGAATGTATTGTAGGTAGATACTACTACTTGAGCCTCCAAGTCAAGCTTCTGAACAATGATAGTCTCACTATCAAGGTTCCTTTGAGGATACAGAACTAGTCTGCGAGAGAAATTTGGATTAATGATTATTTATACGCGACCATGAATCGAGAACCTTTTATAGAAAGATTGTTTTTGAAGAAAGAGTAATTTTGATACCGTAAGCTTTGACTTGTGGCTCCATAGTAAAAGTGGCTGCGAACCCGTGGCCACACAAGGATCACCCCAGAATCGAAAACAAACCATCACGAAGCAATCATTTCAATAGTTGTTCATATTGCCACTTCCAGGTCAGTCATATATGAATATTATAGCTTCCCTCGACTACACTTTCTTGTCACCCTCCAACTGCCTGTCTAGATTAGATAAGCCTGCACTTCTTATCCTCACTTCCCCACGTCTCCCAACATCAGCTATTCCTTAATCCCACACTATCATGGACTACACAACCAGCGAAGCTAAGGAAAGCTTCTGTGATGTATATGACGGAGCATCCGTGGTGAACTTTGTCTTTTCGCTCCTCATTACAGGAGGTATCTTCGTGTCTTACTTGCCACAATACTACAGGATCTACAAGAAGCAAACCTCCGAGGGCCTTAGTGTGAGCTTCTTGCTCTTGGGCTCATGTCTGTCGATCTTTACTTTCACCAACATTATCATGATATCGTCTAGAGCACGCTACTGTTGCCGCATAGGTGCTTTGACGTTGTTCAACTGTCTCAACTCACAGTTAAACCTTATCCAGATTGGACTTCAGTGTACCTGTGCAATTATGATTCTAGTGCTAGTCATTGTGTTTACTAGAGGTTCATTGAAACAGGATCGTGAGGAGTTCAAGAGAATCATTCACGTTGGAAGGCTTGTTCTCTTGCATGGAATTGCACTGGTGGTTCAAATAATCGTCGCCTTCACCACCAACAGATCAATCTTGCTTTATTTGGCACAATTGAATGGTCTCATGTCGACCTTACTCACCGTCATCAAATACGTGCCACAAATTGTCACAACTTACAACCTTAAGCATCCTGGAACCTTGTCAATTGGTATGATGTGCATTCAAACGCCTGGCGGTTTCGTTTTTACTGCCACATTGTTCTTTACGAAGGGTTCCCACTGGAGCTCTTGGGTGTCGTACTTAGTAGCAGCTTTGTTGCAGGGAACCTTGTTGTTGCTCTGTATCTATTACGAGTACATCGATAAGTCATCTAGCGAAGAAGAGCAAAGAGCTGTTGAGAGAATCATTGAGGAGAATAGAGAACAACCGGAAGAGACAACGCCCTTGGTGTAATCGAAGCACATGTCGCTGTCGTTTGAAGTATGGTGGCTATGACTCCGTCAGAAACGCAACTTGCAGAAATTGCATGATTATGTTTGTTTCTCCCAAAATTTGATTATCACGGCCTTTACTTGAGCAGAATGTTGAAACTAGCACTATCTCTTTCGTTAATCCAAAGGGTGCAAATAGTGCCATTTCCTGCACCTAGTCCAACACAATCATTTGTGCCAATTTCCCTAATAACGGCCAAATTTGTACAGTGTCGAGCTAATGTGTCTCATGACTGGTATTCCTTTTTTGCCGTTGTTCCGGCAGTCGTGACGCCTTTCTTCAAACCTGGTCGAAAGGGTCGTGATGATCACAAAAAGTCCAGTTCTACCTGCCGCGCTCATATTCCCTGCCTGAAAATTTTTACCTTCAACCAACCTCCTTTCTAAAGCAATGATTAGAACTGTTGGATCCCTTCGTGTCGGCACGTTGCGTCTTGGCGCCAGCCTTATGTCTAAGGCTCGCCCTGCCTTCAGAACCTACGCTGCCTTTGACCGTTCCAAGCCTCACGTCAACATCGGTACCATCGGCCACGTTGACCACGGTAAGACCACTTTGACCGCCGCTATCACCAAGGTTTTGGCTTCCAAGGGTGGTGCCAGTTTCTTGGATTACGGTTCCATTGACAGAGCCCCTGAGGAGAGAGCCAGAGGTATCACTATTTCCACTGCCCACGTTGAGTACCAGACTGATAAGAGACACTACGCCCACGTCGACTGTCCTGGTCACGCTGATTACATTAAGAACATGATTACCGGTGCCGCCCAGATGGACGGTGCCATCATTGTTGTTGCTGCTTCCGATGGTCAGATGCCTCAGACCAGAGAGCACCTTTTGTTGGCCAGACAGGTTGGTGTTCAGAACTTGGTCGTTTTCGTTAACAAGGTTGACACCATTGACGACCCTGAGATGTTGGAATTGGTTGAGATGGAAATGAGAGACTTGTTGACCACCTACGGTTTCGATGGTGATGAGACTCCTGTTGTCATGGGTTCTGCTTTGTGCGCCTTGGAGGAGAGACAGCCAGAGATCGGTGAGCAAGCCATCATGAAGTTGTTGGATGCCGTTGACGAGTACATTCCAACCCCACAGCGTGACTTGGAGCAGCCTTTCTTGATGCCTGTTGAGGATGTCTTCTCTATCTCCGGTAGAGGTACTGTCGTCACCGGTAGAGTTGAGAGAGGTTCCTTGAAGAAGGGTGAGGAAATTGAGATTGTTGGTGACTTTGACAAGACCTTCAAGGCTACTGTTACTGGTATTGAGATGTTCAAGAAGGAGTTGGACGCTGCTATGGCTGGTGACAACGCTGGTATCTTGTTGAGAGGTGTCAAGAGAGATGAGATTACCCGTGGTGACGTTTTGGCTAAGCCAGGTACCGTCACTCCTCACACCAAGATCTTGGCCTCCTTGTATGTTTTGACCAAGGAAGAGGGTGGTCGTCACAACCCATTTGCTGAGAACTACAGACCTCAGTTGTTCCTTAGAACCACCAACGTCACTGGTACCATGAAGTTCCCAGATGGCGAGGAGGACCGCTCCCGTATGGTCAACCCAGGTGACAACGTTGAGATGGTCATCGAGTTGGGCAGAAAGGCTCCAATTGAGTTGAACCAGCGTTTCAACCTCAGAGAGGGTGGTAAGACCATTGCCACTGGTTTGGTGACAAGAATTATCGAGTAAGTGTCGCCAGTAGTTCTTGGTTTGTAAATAGTGAACGGTTGAATAAAGTTATTCAAGTATCAACATTTCTTGTGTAGTGCGCATCTTCTCCACAACATATCTCGATCCATCGTACATACCGAAGATTATAATACGCCAAAATCGCGGTCCAACATAGCCATATGCTCCTGCCAGCTCTAGACGTGGAGCTGTATGTTGGCTTCAGACCCTATGAATTGACAAAAGACCGCGTTGAACTCTATTCGAATCAGCGACGCCTTTTGATCTCGAAGAAGCAGGTAACAGTGATCCATGGCATTGTGCTTTCAAAAAAGCTTGTATACGAAGAAGATGTCGTAGCTGCTGCCTACACAACGTTTCGAGCAAATCGCCAGAAGTCAGAGTCGACAAGTTCGTTAGATGATGTGGAAGCTTTAGCAGTTTGTCTATCCAAGGCGGCATATATCTATTACCCTGGAGGACAATACTACGTGGTGAGTTTCCCCTTCACATTGAAAAGAGCTTTTCCATTTGAGTCTGGGCTTATACTAGAAAGAGAGCAGGATTCGCTTTCGAAATTGCCCACATCCAGTCAGTACCATGGGTACCGCTTCTTCACGCTTGTGGACCCAATTGGCGACTTCCGTGTGGTCACAACATCATCGACATCTGTTGTGACTTCCCAAGAGAATTTGGTTTACTTTCCCAAACTAGGTATCAATAAAACGAGGTCCCTATGTGCTACTTTCAGCCCAAGAAACAATACTGTCACGATATATCACATCAAGGCTTCGACGAGACACGCTGTGGTGGGAGGTTCTAGCATGAGGAAGCGCAAAAATCACTCTCTCTCTACGCCCAACCCTTCCAAGAAGTTGGAGGACGACATCTTGCATGAATTTAATCACCCTTTCTCGGGTTCCACATCTCAGAACATGGAAAAGAAGCGCACGAGCACTCTTCTATCTGGCGTTTCTTCAATTGGTCGTATGGGCTCGGAATCGGGATTCTCTGAAAGCGGGAAAGTTACCAACAATGTGGAGTTTTCTGGTCTTCGAAAGGATATGATTCTCACGAAAGCTGACTCAATCACTGTATCGGCCAAAAAAGATTACATTACAACCACGGGTCTCTACTATCAGGATGAGGAGGCTATTGTCATCTCCAACAAAGTGTCCAAAGAGACTCAAGTTCTCATATACAAGCTGCAAAGTGGCTACATTTCCCAGCATGAGTCTTCAGTCACCCTTAATTGTCTTCATGCTATCCCTCTAGAGCATAGCAGGTTTCCAGGATGGCTTCTTGTCCTCAAAGATGAGCTGTCACTTCAATTGGTTCACCCCTTCTTGGACATTACTGCTCCTGTTGTTGACCTTTCGTCCAATTACCCAGCGATGTCTCGAATAAGTAGCTCGTACGACAACATCGTTGTTCTTGTTGCAAATAACGAAGAGACACATACTGTGAGATTGGTTCTCGAGCCGTCGAATCAATTTGTGTCCACCTGTCTCAAAATATGGAGATATCTTTCTGGTTCAAAAATTAACGAGCACGTCTGGGTGTTCTGGCGCTCAGCTTTGACGCTTGATGATCAACTGGATGAATGGAACGCTTACGTGATCATGATCCTCTCGTTGGTCTACCCCTTCGATAGTGGAGAGATTGAGGTCAGTAGCAATCCAATTACGGACCTTCTTCCTTTGGCAAAGAAGCATCATGAATACTTCGATTTTGGTTACTCGTTGCAGGAGCTTTTGTCCTACATTGTGGTTGCTCTCCACTTAATCTATGAAGAATTGAAGCTTGACACACTTGCGAAGCAAAATCTTGAAAAGTTGGGATTACTTCTTACGCAACTCACAACGTGGATGGGATGGCTGGACCAGTGGACAACATTTTATATGGTGGATTCCAGTATGATTGATAGGACTACGAAGCTTCTACTGACGGTTCTTCTCTACAATCCTCCAAACCTATTTGAGAGCCTAGCGTCAGTATTCGACAGCAAGCGTTCTCGGTATCCTAAGTTCTCGCAGTTGGTAGAAGAGGGTGACAGCATTAATATGACCATGACTCCAAGAACACACATAGTTCTCCACATTTTTGAGCTAATGGTCTCTCAACCAGCTAGAGCGGTTATAAAAGCCTTATCTGGTTTTGGTATCACATCAAATGACTTGGAATCTTACCCTCTCGGAATAAGCATACCTATTAAAGAGTGCCTTCTTCAATGTCAGCAAGACCCTGACCTTTCCTGGGGTAGTGATATTCTCAGACTTATTGGTAGAAGTGATTTGACGGTGACATTGGAAGACCAAGACGAACTCATTCACAGCAACGGTAACGGCCCATTGAGTCTCAAAAACCTCAAATCCAATGAAACCAAGAGTTCGGAGGCTATTGTATCCGAGATTTTGGAACCTTCGAAAAGGAAGGTAGACCATTTTCAGTCCGAATCGGAAAGGTCGCAGGTCACGGATTTGATTTTCGACCAGGACAGAAGGTTTTATGAGATTCTCAACCTCCTCAATCAGACTAAGGTGCAGAGTACAACTTTGGTTGTGGATGAGAATCAAAACGAATACGATTCAACGCTTCTTAAAAGAGAAGTTGCATCATTGGTTGCTCTTCGTACATTGACACTTCCGCTAGGCAGAGCAGCCCTCAACTACGAGGAGTGTAAGCCAATGTTTACCGAAAAGTTTCCAATTCCTGATCTTAACTTGAGTACGATAATAGCCCCTTCAATGTCCACCATTGTGCTCAATAAGGATCTGATATTTCATAAACTCTATGATTGGGGCTCGTTTCATAATGGTGCTTCGTCAGGTCTCAGTATCAGCCGGAAGTGTGAGGGCATTACCGGAAGTTGGGCGTTTTACAACAAGCCGTCCGAAAACTTTGCGCAACACGCTGGATTTCTACTTGGGCTTGGATTAAATGGCCATTTAAAAAAGTTGGAGGAATGGCACATCTACAACTATCTTGGTCCGAAGCATCCGCTCACCAGTATAGGTCTCTTAATTGGTATGGCTGCAAGTTTGAAGGGGTCAATGGATAACAAACTCACAAAAGTCTTGTCGGTGCATGCTGTGGCTCTCTTACCTCAGGGCGCCAATGACTTGAATGTTCCCATCACCGTTCAATCTGCTGGTTTGATTGGTATCGGTCTTTTATACCTCGAGACACAACATAGAAGAATGAGTGATATCTTGTTGTCGCAAGTGAGCGGAGCAGTGTCTCATATCGAGCATGATGAGGAGTTCGAAGGGTACATGCTTGCGGCAGGATTGGCTTTGGGTTTCATCAACTTGGGCAAAGGTGACACCTTGAGAGGTATCAACGATACACACGTCGTGGACAAGCTTCTTTCGCTCTCCACATCGATGAGGGACTCTCAGTCGGAGCTTGAGCTGGATAAATCTGGATCCGCTGCTATCATGGCATTGGCTTTCATGTACTTGCGGACGGAGAATCAGGTCATAGCCAGGAAGCTTCAAGTTCCGGATTCAGAGCACCTTCTTGATTACGTGCGGCCAGACTTGCTTCTCTTGAGATCAGTTGCAAAGAATGTGATTTTATGGGACCAGATAAGGGCTACCACGCAATGGGTCGACTCACAAGTCCCCGAGGTCTTAAGAGTAAGGCACAACTTCAACAACATAGAAAGCCTAGACAGCGACCAGGTAGGCTACTTCAATGTTTTGGCAGGTGCCTGCTTAGCTATGACTTTGAAATACGCTTCATCCCAAAACTTGAGTGCGAGGACAACCCTACTTGGGTACCTCGACAAGTTCATGGTCATCACAGAATCTACAGCGGTAAATTACGACGAGCAAGTTGCTCTCAACTGTGCCAGTCAGATCCAAAATGTTCTTGCGCTTGCAGTAGCTGTGGTGATGGCTGGAAGCGGAGATCTAGAGGTGTTTCGTCGGTTGAGAGTGCTTCATGGTCGGATCAGCAAGACGCATCAATACGGGAACCATATGGCGGTAAATATGGCCCTTGGGTTTTTGTTCATGGGAGGCGGCCAATACGCTTTTGCGGACTCTAACTTTGCCGTGGCGACTTTGTTCACAGCGCTTTACCCCATCTTCCCTGCCGAATCGAACGAGTTTGAGGTACATCTCCAGGCGTTGCGCCATTTCTGGGCATTATCTGTGGAGCCTAAGTGTCTCATTATCCGAGATGTTGCGGACGGACGGCCGGTCAAACTTCCAGTTACTATCGTCATGAAGGATGGATCTAAACGAGAGAGTACAGCTCCCCAGCTTCTTCCACGCATTGAGCAGATTGCGTCGATCGAGGTTAAAGCGCCGGAATACTTCAATGTGAAGATGGACTTTCTGGTGTCTTCGGAGTACATGGACCAATTTCGAGAGTCACTCACGCTTTTCGTCTACAAGAAGTGCAATTACGAGCTTCTCAAGACCACCGTCACCACTCTCCTCAAGAACGAAAGTAAGGCTTTGCAGATAGCAAATAAAGAGGTGGCCGTGAACAAGGAACTTGCGAGTCTCCTTGACGTCCAGCTTCTAAGCCCACTCACCCAGTTTGAGAAACAAATCTACCTTTACGAAAGCGGGGTGGAGCACCTGAGCGACCCGAACAAATCGGGACTTAGCATGTTCAACATGATCGCCAACAAAATCGACCTTCATCTCATGGCCACCCAGCCACGGGATGTTCAAGATCTCCTCAGTCTAAAGCTACTTTTCGCCTACACCGATCATGTGCTAGACGACGACATGCATTTTGTCAGTCTACAGTTCGTCGAGCAGCTTAAGCAGGAGCTCTGGGCCGTCCTGGCTGCGGACGCATAACGTCAAAAATAATAATTAGACTTGCAGCTTCAACACCGTGCTAGTCTCGAGCCGTCATCGTATCCCTATCACCCTGAATAGTTGTTTTTCTTAATCACCGCCGTTGGCCCATTGTTTGCAGTGAGGTCTTTCTGGGCTGCTGTTCCTGGCCGATAAAAAATGCGACCGATTACGCTTCTGGGAAGCTGATGGGCGCGAACAAGGCTGGAGCCTTGGCTCCTCGGAGGATCGCATTCCTGGAAAATCGCACTGCGGAGGTATGGGAGACATACAAAAGGTCCCGCGTCTAAGTTGTCTTAATTTTGAGGACTGTTTTTGTGAAGTGATACCAAAATAAAAAAGCTACCTGTTTCCACACCACACCCAACCACACCACAACATATCACTTGCTTTGAATTCTCTTCGCCATGGTATATCGCCCCATGTTCAATGCTGAAAAACTTGTGGCTAGAAGAAAAATGTACCCACACTCTCCCTTCATTAACGGCCCCCAGTCTATGAACATCGCTCAACCGTTGTCCAGGGCTTCAACAATCGCAGAGCTCAGAATCCAGAGACTGTTTCATGACAAATCCTTTCGTTCGGGCTCTCGCTTCCCAAGGATCCCTGGCATGCCAAGTATCCCTGGTATCCCTCGTCCTAAGAGAACTGTGTTCTACTACTCCACCTGGACAAGAAGCGGCAAACGCTTCGTGCCCAACTTGCACCTCTCTCGCCGTCATTTTACCTCGGCTCCCCTGAAAATCAGACACAAGACGAGTAATCTTAAGAGTGGTATTCAGAGACGCTTTTTCTCGACCGAGGCTCGCAAGAAGAGACGGGAGAAGAGACGCTTTGTGCGCTGGTGGACCTTGACGTCTTTGGTCATTGTTTTGGGCGGTGTCGCTGCCAAGGTCAGATATGAACGCTACCTCGACGAGGACTACGATGAGAACTACAGTCCGTTCGGAGATCACACTGTCAAGCCCACCTCTTGGTCATTGTACGCGTACTCAACGTTACCTTTGAAAACAATGTCTCGTTTGTGGGGCCAGTTTAACTCCATCAACTTGCCTGTTTGGATGAGAAGTCCATCCTACACTCTCTATTCTCGCCTTTTCGGTGTGAACATGGATGAGATGGATGAGCCTGACTTGACGACATACAGCAACTTGTCAGAGTTTTTCTATCGTCGTTTGAGGCCTGGTGTGCGGCCCTTGGCAGACACTGACTTGGTGTCTCCATCTGACGGTAAGGTGCTCAAGTTTGGTGTCATCGAGGATGGTGAGATTGAGCAGGTCAAAGGCATGACCTACTCTATTGACGCCTTGCTTGGCTTGTCTACGACTCGTCTTGCGGCTCCAACCCACTCTCTTGAATTTGACCACAAAGAAGAGCACGAGGCTCTCATCAAACGTGATGAGGAGTTCGCTCGCTTAAACGGAATTTCTTACTCTGTGGATGACCTCATTGGGGGAGAAAGCGAGAAGACTCACCACATTAACGAATTGGAGTACAAGGATGAAGGTGACCAGACTGCCAGTGACCGCAAGCCAACCATTGGCAAGGATATCTCTGTGGCTCAAAACTTGACGCCAACCCCACTTGAGAAAGTCAGCCAGAGCTCTCACAGAAATCTTTACTTTGCGGTTATTTACTTAGCCCCAGGTGACTACCATCGCTATCACTCTCCTACTAACTGGGTTACTACTTTGAGACGTCATTTCATTGGTGAGCTCTTTTCCGTTGCGCCATTCTTTCAGAAAACCTTGCCCGGCTTATTCGTGCTTAACGAGAGAGTCGCTCTTTTGGGCTACTGGAAGTACGGCTTCTTCTCGATGATTCCAGTCGGTGCTACAAACGTTGGTAGTATTGTCGTGAACTTTGACAAAGACTTGAAAACTAACGACGTGTACGAACACGAGGTCTACCTGAGAAGCTCAAGAGAAGCTTCCCCTAGCGAGACCACTGCGTTACTCGAGGATGGGAAGAGCATCTCGCTGGGCTCCACGGATAACTCAGTGAACAAACCAAAGAAGTTGAAGAAAAACACCGTCTATGAGGCTACCTACACGAAAGCGTCCAAGCTTCTTGGTGGGTTCCCCTTGAAGAAGGGTGAAGAGGTGGGTGGTTTCAAGTTGGGATCCACCGTTGTGTTGGTGTTTGAAGCACCATGTAACTTCCATTTCGATCTTGAGGTTGGTCAAAAAATCAAGATGGGTGAATCTCTCGGTAGATTCAAGTAGCATACTCTTATATCGGCATTATAGATAACATTGGAATGGAAGTGTAGAAACCTGGGTCTGTTGCACCGATAAACAGTATAAGAGCCAAGATTGCTGTAAATTTGAGGCATTATTGGGTAGCACTTCTCAGCAGTTCTGGAGAATGCTGAACAGAGGTAATGGACCCATCTGCTTTAGTCGGCAACAACAAAAGAGAAGCTGGATGGTACAGCTACGTTTCATGATCTAGTTTCGATAAATGTGTACTTTCTGGATTTTTAATGACTTCACGAATTTATAGCTTTGCTGTAGATACCTTTCATGCTCCAGAAAACCACTCACAATTGTGTATTTCGCAACCAAAACCGCACCTATTCTACAAACGGTAAGCACTTCAAGTTCGCTAATAAAATCAAAATCACCTCAAATGCTCTGAAACTAACAGAAACGAATCTTCAAACAATAAACGAATCACTCTAACCTACAGTAAGCAAAAAAATCAGTTTCATTATCGTTGTTGACCACAGCGGCCAGGAGGGACAGATCGCGAAGCGCACATTTTCTACCATCGAGCTGTTTCTCTGCAGTGCTAAGCGTGTTTGGATCTACTCGCTTGATCCACCTTGAGCACACTTTTTTCCTAAACAACTACCCCACCACTATGTCTTTCCTCAACACCATAAGAGGCTTTGGGCGCTCGTCTAAGAAGACTAAGAAGGATTACGAAGCGCCAGGGATCCTTGCGCCTCATGGAAATGGAAACGTCTCGCCCATGAGAAGATCACAACTGCCGTCCAAAATGTCTCCGTCAAAACGTGGATCGCAGATTCAATTTGCCCCTTCGTCACCGACAAGGATTTCAAGAATGGCTCGCTCTCGTCTGCCGCAAAGACAGACCTATAGCACATCAGAAACGGAGGAGCCCCCTTTATTCTTGTGTGAGCCGTTCGTCAAGACAGCCTTGGTGAAAGGTTCGTTTAAGACCATCGTACAGCTACCTAAATACGTGGACTACGGGGAGTGGCTTTCTCTCAACATTTTTGAGCTTTTCAATCATTTAAACCAATTTTACGGCATCATATCAGACTACATAACGCCCGAACTGAATCCGACAATGAATGCTGGGCCAAACACAAATTACTTGTGGATAGACACTTCTGGACAGCCCGTGAACTTGCCTGCTGATCAGTATATTGAATATGTCTTGACATGGATATCAAACAAGATCAACGATCAATCAGTATTTCCCACGAAAGACGGCGGAGCCTTCCCCCCCAACTTCATTAAAGACTGCAAAAACATTGTCAGACAAATGTTCCGAATCTTTGCACACATATACCACAATCACTTTGAAAAGTTAGTACATCTATCGCTAGAGGCGCATTGGAACTCCTTTTTCGCTCACTTTATAAGTTTCGGCAAGGAATTCAACTTGATAGACAAGAAGGAGCTAGTGCCTTTGTTACCATTGATCGAGAATTTTGAGAAACAGGGGAAAATCATCTAAACTTAGGGACGATGCTTCATATATTTACAGGTTTGGAGCATCTATATACATGCGAAAATGTAAGGACAATCAGGAGAAGAAGTATTGCGAGTCTCTCACAACCTTCACGTCAAGATCGCCCTTAGCTGGAACCTCGGGGAATTTGAGCGGCGCAAGGAACTGGAAGGAGTATTGCGGCGATGTAGTAAGGCCAGCATTATGCAAATCGTAACCCTCAGTGACACTGACAGTGGTTTCGAGATTTTTGCCCTGTTCGACCTCTTCAGGGTTTTCAGAGTTGAGCAACTCTTGCCTTTTCTTTTCGAGATAAAGCTCGTCGGCGATAGTGAGTGCCCTACCAAGTTTTTGAACAATCTTTCTTCTCACATCCTTCACTTTGATAGCAACATCATGTTCGTGAGGAACAGTCATGACTTGTAAGAAGCCCTTGTAACGTCTCTCGAATTCGTCCTTCAACTTTTGAATCGAGTCCTCTTGATGGATCTCCACAAACTGGTCTCTAATATGCTTGTTCATCAAATCAACGTCACGAGCATGAGTCCAGTAAGAATCGTGAACAGCAGCGAAAGAAAGGCCGTCAGTACCACATGCTTTAGCAGTCATCAACATATGAGTGGCGTCCAACGAATGAACGTAATTGGGAGGGAATGCTGCTTGCTGCTTTCTAGCATCAACTTGAGAAACTGCAAATGGATCCGAAATGATGATGTCTTGCAAAGTCGTCTTCACCAATCTTGACTTATCAGTTCTATAAGGCTGGACACATGGCAAACCAAGAGGGGTCGTCCAAATGACGGAAGACATATGATGAGGCTTGTTGGCATCCTTGGGGTCCGCTTCAAAGTCAACTCTAACAGATTTGGAAATACGCTTAGCAGCTTCTCCCAACCAGTCTTGAATCAAGTGTGCACGTTCGAACAATTCTCTCATCGATGCAAAAACCTGGGTAGTCAAGTAACGAGAGTACTTGGAAAGATCACTCAAGGTGACGTCGTTGTCAAACATGTGAGTGATCTGCTTTTCAATCTGAGCAACGGCACCAACATAGGTGACACCGTAAACATTTGTCATGACAGTTTGCTTGACAACCTTTCTAGCAATTCTGCCCTTGAAAAAAATGGCACGTTCGTCACCTGCTTCGGCATCAGCTTCTAAACGTTTTTCAACCAAACCGGCAACGTGAGCGTAAACATCCTGTGGTCTGTCTGCTGGAACCAAGTTGACCTGCTGAGCACCTCCAATGTCACCACCCAATGCTGCATAATGTTGCAAACCGTTACAAGTACCGTCTTGATGAACGGGCATGTAAGAAACGAACTTGGTTGGATCCTCAAGTTTGTGAGCCTCGTACAATTCGAAACAGACTCCCAAAACCTGCCATGGTTTCTCACCTTTTGTCCACCATTCCTCATTAGCAATAGGATCTTTCGCTGCTTCGAAAATTTTATCCATGTTCTCCTCGGCAAACTTCACACGCTCGTCAAGAGGGGCTTTATCTTTACCGTAGAGGTTTGCAAGGTGGATCTTCAACCATCTAAGACCACGCTCTCCAACTTCCTGACCCTCCCAGAACAAGAAGAGTGATCTTGTCACATCACCACCCAAATGGTTAAAGTGAGGTGAAATTGGGTAAGCTCTGCCTCTAAAATCAACACTGTGTGGGAAGAACATCTTTTCACCGACGAAACCTCTTGCAATCTCTAACTTGTAGTTAAGGTCGCACCTCTGAGATCTTAGACCCGCCAGTTCACTCATGATGCTCTTTACTTTGTTGATGTATTCTGTTCTCACAGAAGGCTCTGCGTTTGGTGGAGGAGGTTCGGTAAACTTGGGGTCCTCAACAACGGGAGGAATGTCCAAGAATTTCTTTCCAGTATTCCAATAATGAGAGATCACGTCAAGAACCTTGGAGTTCACCGTCCATGCGGTTTCACCCAAGATATTCAATCCCTTGTAGACTTCATCCAAATCATGGGCATCGGATGCAGCCTTGACGTATGCAATGTTCTCTGCAGAGTCCTTGATTCTCACTAAGTTGGTAGAGTTGTACAAGTATCCACCGCTATTGTGAGCAGTCCATGGTCTTGGTGGGGACAACATCGGAAGATACGATGGCTGCACAGAGTTTTGGAAAGTTTTTCCGCCAAGTTGCTTAATAAGATTCTTGTGCAATTTGATGACGCCAACTTTCATACCCTGACTAACCTGGTATGTATGGTGGAAGGCGTGCTGAAGGCCCTTGACAGGTTTACCTGTGGCAGGATCAGTGCCGCTGACTTGGACTTTGGCGACCTGCAAAAGAGGCATTGCCAACACAGAGCCAAGTTTAGCGTACAAGGTCGTAGTCCACTCCGCATCAAAGGAAGATGAGTCGATATTTCTTCTCTTAAGGAGTTTCTTCAATTGGTTGGAGCTAAGACCCTTCTTCTGAGCGAACTTCTTGTCGGTCTTCATGAGATGCTGGCACTTGTACTCGAGCTCGACAGCACGACCAACAGCCAAGATCGCTCTAGCTGTACGCATGCCATCGGCAATACCACCTGTGTTGTTGAGCTTGAGCAACTCAAAAATGACAATAAGACAAAGAGTCTTTGGAGAAAGAAGGACAAAGTATGGGGCGTAAAACGCTCTGTCAACCATTTCTTGATCGTTCTTGTCCAGGGTGGGAATATTGCCGTTGAGTACGTTCTGGCATAGCTTGTGCTCCTCTTCAATATAAGGTAGCATGTCCGAGTACCACTTGTAAAGTTGCACGTTAAGGTTCTTGTTCATGGAGATCTCTCCTCTCTGATTGAGGGTATTGAACTCATGGTCCCACTTGGCACGAGCGCCCTCGAGTCCCTTCACCTCCAAGTCTCTCTGACGTTTCTCGTTATAAGCGTCTAAAATGCGATTGAACTTCTCCTTAGCCTCTGGGTTCTTGAGCTGCTTGTAGAATTCGTGACAATTTATCTTGGAACCGGAGACGTTGTGAAGCACATGCGAGCCCAAAGTGCTATCGAGGTCCTTGAAGAACTGCTCAAGGTCGATGCCGTCAGATTCAAGACCGAGAAGAGAATGTCTTACGACCTTGATACCGAAAGAGTTAACAGGGCGTAACTCGACTGCACCATCTTTCTTCAAAGAAGGAGCATCAACATTATCCTTTGCAAAGTATTCAGGGACTTCTTCCACGACATCTTCCTCTGTGATATCTCCGGGATTTCTCACCTCGTTGAATACGGGGACTAAATCATCAGGTACCTGCAGCTGTTTGAGTGTGGGGTCTTGAAAAATTCTTGTGAGCCCGTCCACCGTGATGACATCCACGTTGTTGAGCATGTTGCGGAACAAAGAACGGTTCTTCTTGGCCTTGTTGAGCCATTTGTCGAAATGCTCTGGCGAGCTCAAACTCTTCCCCAAAAGCACTGCGTAAGTTCTCTCATTAGGCTGAATAGAAAACCTTTTGAGAGCCTTCTGGAGATAAGCTTCCACATCTTCAATAGATGTAGACTCTTCAGCGGCGTACACTTCCAAGTATTTGTTCAAAGGGTTCACGATGTTTTCTGGCTGCTCAAGTAAGACGAAGAGCGTTTCTAGAATGTTGTCAGCTCTCTCAAAACTCTTGGATGCTAAGAGCGCATCGAGTAAGGAATGAAGATGAACCACGTCTTTAACGAAAGGAGATCTTGACACTGGGTCATGACTGGAGGTCCATGCCACCTGCTTCTTGTCTTCTTCTTTCACCTTACTGTACATGCCAGGCCCAACATGGTCGAAACTGGGCGCTTCTATGGAGAGTGAAGGCTTTTTTCCCTTTTTGCCTCGTTTTTTGAGATCATCGACCAACGAGAAGAAATACCGCTCATCAACTGAGGCCGGTTTAGTTGCAGCCGATCCGGCTTTGCGTATGCTATGTCTTAGAAGACCTCGACTTAGAATGCTGGAGCCTCTAAGCATCATATAATTATGGAAAGAGGGAAGTACTGGGACTTGTCGTAACCTCAATAAAGCTATAAATGTTATAGACGGAAGATGGTTTCGGGTCGGATGAGGTTTCCAGTTTTCTCATCGCAGGCATCCTGTGCAAACTGGAGTGTTCCATCGCAGGCCTTTCGCCACACCTGTACACCACGCCATTGGCCAAAGTGGAAAGATGGCAATATTAGACTAGTGGCGGGGGAAATTTCAATCTAGATAGAAACTTGTGGGTCCTCAAGTTATGTCGATGGTGATCGCCTCATGTGGCGCAGAGGCCACACTCGCAGCATGCGCTTTCGCAGCGATTTGCAGCCATACCGGTCTTGCTCACCGCTTGCGCTGGCACACTCGCCTCCACATCAAGCACTATCGGAAGGACCTGTCAAAATTAAACATGAGTAGTGATTAGATGCACCGGGAAAACTACAAGCCCATCTCGGCTTGCAATGCCTTCAATGCCTCTTCGTCCTCGTCCTCCTCCTCGGGCTTGTTCTTGTTCACGGTAGGGAAGTTGGGGAGTTCCGGCTCCTCGGCCGCAGGAGCCTTCTGTGCTGGAGTCTTGGTTGGAGTATTCTTTTGCTTGCTTTCCTGCTCCTCTTCTTGCAAAGCTGCCAACTCCTCGTCCAATTCGTCTTCGTCCACGTATTCCCCTCCCACAGGACGTGAGATGGCCTCGGATATCTCATCCGCCAATTCAACCTGTTCCCGGATATCATCCATGGTGTTCTCAACCTTGTCAACATCGTACTCGCCGTGTATTTGCTTCATGGCCAGGGCGCCCTGCTTCATGGCCTTCATGGTCTCCAAGTTCAAGTTGGCGCCCTCAATGGCAGTCAACTGAGTTTCTAACGAGTCAATCTGGTTTTCTATCTTCATCAAATTTGTTTCATAGCCCTTCTTGCGCTTCAATGCATTTTTGGCAAGAGCCTTGTTGGTGGCAATATGCTTCCGGGCAAGCTTGTCCTGGTCCTCAATCTGGGATTCTAGATGACTGCGTTTCTTGTTGAGCATCTGAATATGCTCTCTCAACTCGACGATTGCCTTCTTCGGCAACTCCTTTTTCTGCTGCTTGTTGCCGCCGAAGATGTAGTTCCACATGATGTCTAGGTCTTAATGTGTGCTGTTGGTTTGTCTCAGGATGACAAGCAGGTGAGAGATAAGCCTGAGTGTGGGTTCCCTGTGCAGCACACGACCCAATAGAGGTACCACCAGCCGCCGCTTGATCACAGTGTATCGGCAAATAAAATTTCTACAAACGATCTGCTTTCTTCTATCACATTACTAGATACATCTGGCTGGAAAGGGCTGCCCGGGTATTGGTGTCTTGTTCGCACCGTTGCGCCCCTCCCGCCAGCACTGAGATCATCATACATAGGCCACCAACTAGCTCACCATGACCCACAAAAAGAAGAAGAAGAGCAAAACTCCAAAGATCTTCAAGAACAACCATCTGTTGTTCGATATATGCGCATAATACTTGAGCAATTCCCTCTGGGCGCCTGATATATTCATATCAATGTCCTCAACGTTTTGATCGATTCTTTGGATAGTTTCTCCCTGCTCGGTAACCATAGTAGCCAACTGTTGGAACAAGTTGCCCACTTCGTTGATAGTGGCTTCGATTGTCTCCACAGCACTGTTTCTCTGCTGTAGGTATTCATTGCTTTGCTCTTCCATTAGGAGAAGCTGCCTGGTCTGGTCAGGAATTGAGAGGAGCTCATTACCGCCGTTTTGTGATGCTTCCTCTTCCGCCCCGACGGTAAGTAAGTATGGGTTTTCGCCCAAATTATGCAATGAGTTGTTGGCACCTGTTCCCCTGCCAGAATCGCCACCGTCGCTTAGCGGCGTCAGAGAGTTCTGTCGTCTATTAGTTGCCGCACTGAGGAAGTTCTCTGTTCTGGTCTTGTTCATAAGCTCGTTCTTCTGTCTAAGCTCCAACACATTCTTGAATTCACCACTGACATTCTTCATCTTCGAATTAAGTAAGTTCAACACATTCTTGGAATACTGTGTGACTTGAGAGTCCATCTGAATTGACAGCTCTCCCTTGGCGAACCTCTGAAGGTTCTGAATGCTTTGTTCGATCTTGAATATATCCTGCTTGATCACATACGTCAACTCGCCTATCTCCACTGGCCTGTCGTCAAACAAAGGTTTCTTTTTGGCCAAGAGTGCAAGCTTCAGTAATAGCTCTGTTGTGTGTGCGATGTCTTTAGCTATGATTGAAGCCTGTTGAGAGAATCTTGATTTCTTAGCTGGTTGATTATCCTGCCGCTGAGGGCCTTGCTGTCTTCTGTTTATCTTGTCGTAGGACGACACACATTGCTGGAACTCGAAAGTTCGGTTCTGTATCGCCAGCGACATCTTGCTTTGTGTGGGATATTAAAGAAGCCGTAGATTGAGATTGTATAATGAGATAGTCGAATGCTGGTCTTTTCGATTGTGCTGGTGTGCGGATGTTTTAGTACCACCCACCAGCATTTGCAGCCAGTTCACTAAACCTTACCTAAGGGCCAAGTTGCAGAAAATCTTTATTTCTACTTGTTGACAATTTTGTCGGACTCATTTTGTATACTCATGGTGAATTACCAGGATGTACACCTGGCTTCAACTATGGGCCATGGATTTAGCGACATGAAGATTAGTATGGCTAGGTGAGGCAATAGCCGATGATTCTGGATTACTGAACTCAGTGACAAATCTTCTTCATTCTTTAAATGCCCAAGAAGTAAATATGGACAAATTGGCGAAGTCAGGCCTAAGTTAGAACGCCGAGTAAAGGATGCGAGATTAAATGAACATAGTAATCTATGCTAACGAGGTAGATTTGATAAACAGACGGTATTTTCAGAAACTAAAAAAGCTTTTGTTATGACTTCATATACAACAGCTAGATAAGTAGTCGTGTGTGTAGTTTTTAGGTAGCTTTCACATTAATTACAACTAGTTATTCCTAAGTTTACATGACTGAGGCAGTAAGAATTGCTAAAAAAGTCTTCAATATAAAAAAAAAACTAGTTTTACAAGAACGGTTAGCTTTCCAACTACAACATGATCCTTGTGGTCTGTTATAAGGAAAGAAGCTCTCTTTTTGCAACTACTTGAGCTAGTTTGTTACACTTTTACACCCGTGCACCAAAACGTCAAAATGGCACAGTTCCGCAAACCAAGGCCCAGGCCCATAGAGGCTCAGCACCAAAAGGGTATAGCAGCACCGATTCACACGAAATTACATATAGATTCGAAAGTAGATGGTAGAGAGTGAATTTCAAGAACTGCTTCACAAACTTGGGTGGATTTATCGCTTACTGTAATCTGCTTGACTGTAATCTGCTTGACCAAAGACGGAGAAAGCGACGAATCGCTGTAATCAAACCCAATCAAATTAAGACGCTTATAAGAATGATCTTAGAGATCACTACATTGAGCTTTTAAACCTCTCTTGTTCCCCTTCATCAGTACTCATTTATACTCGTCCGTGAACTACTTGCTTTTTTGATCAATGGCTGCGAATTACACGAGAATGCCTAAAACAGCCTTGAAACAAGTCCATGCAAAATACATGCACAGACCTGACAACAATAAAAATCATACCACTGTAATCGCAAGATCAAGAAGACCATAACCATACTCTTTAAAGACTAATTTCCTTAATTCGTAGATCCATACTGATACAGCCTAGCACACGCGCGACCGAAAAGGGAAAAATACAAACAAAAGAGGGCCGCTCGCACAATAACAGAAAAAAATACTGATACTACATAGTCGTGCAGCACACACCTTGATCCCTCACGAGTATCAACAAAAACATTTCTTAAAACTACACCGCCAGAGAACATGAGAGAGATCGTATGTACCCCATTTGCACGTGTATTTTACTCTTTACTAACCTCAGATCCACTTGTCCACCGGTCAGTGTGGTAACCAGATTGGCGCCGCTTTCTGGGAGACTATCTGTGGTGAACACGGTTTAGACAACAATGGTAATTACCATGGCGACGACGGAATCCAGAAGGCCAAGTTGGACGTCTACTTCAATGAAGCATCCTCGGGTAAGTACGTGCCCCGTGCCGTTCTCGTTGACTTGGAGCCAGGCACCATTGACGCCGTGAAGCTGTCCCGTATTGGTAACTTGTTCCGTCCCGACAACTACATCTTTGGCCAGTCCTCTGCCGGCAATGTTTGGGCCAAGGGTCACTACACCGAAGGTGCTGAATTGGTCGACTCCGTCATGGATGTCGTAAGAAGAGAGGCCGAGGGTTGTGACTCCTTGCAGGGTTTCCAGATCACCCACTCCTTGGGTGGTGGTACCGGTTCTGGTATGGGTACCTTGTTGATCTCCAGAATCAGAGAAGAGTTCCCCGACAGAATGATGGCTACCTTTTCCGTTATGCCTTCCCCTAAGGTCTCAGACACCGTGATTGAGCCTTACAATGCTACCTTGTCCGTCCACCAATTGGTTGAGAATTCCGATGAGACCTTCTGTATTGATAACGAGGCCTTATACAACATTTGCCAGAAGACCTTGCGCTTGCCCCAGCCATCTTACGATCAGTTGAACAACTTGGTGTCGTCTGTCATGTCTGGTGTCACAACCTCCTTGCGTTACCCAGGTCAGTTGAACTCCGACTTGAGAAAGTTGGCTGTCAACTTGGTTCCATTCCCCAGATTGCACTTCTTTATGGTGGGTTACGCTCCCTTGACTTCCATGGGCTCCCAGTCATTCAGATCCTTATCTGTGCCTGAGTTGACTCAGCAAATGTTCGATGCAAAGAACATGATGGCTGCTTCCGACCCAAGAAACGGTCGTTACTTGACTGTTGCCGCTTTCTTCAGAGGTAATGTCTCCATGAAGGAAGTTGACGACGAGATGTACAAGGTTCAGACGAGGAACGCTGACTATTTCGTCGAGTGGATCCCTAACAACGTGCAGACTGCTGTTTGCTCTGTTCCTCCTAAGGACTTGGATATGGCTGCTACCTTCATCGGTAACTCCACCTCTATCCAAGAATTGTTCAAGAGAGTCGGTGACCAGTTTAGCGCTATGTTCAGAAGAAAGGCTTTCTTGCACTGGTACACTTCCGAGGGTATGGATGAGATGGAATTCACTGAGGCTGAGTCTAACATGAATGATTTGGTTAGCGAGTATCAGCAGTACCAGGAGGCAAGTGTGGAGGAAGAAGAGGATGTGGATTACGGCGCCGAGGAGGCTCCTTTGGTTGACAACATGGACTAAGTATTGGGCACTCCGTCTCAATACTCTGTTCATGTATAGAATTATACCCTAGGTACACGGCAGTGTACTTCTGTGTTGCTCAAGGCTGCTCATTTACCCGGTTGTTGTTCGACTAAGGGTCGCTTCCCGAGCGGCTTTATGTCCCACACTTTCTCTTTATTTCGTATCATTTAATTTTAGTCGAGTCTTTTACGCCTTAATATATGGAAAAATCTACTCTTGCGTTCATTAAACGTGAATTGTATTGTATGTAAAGTTTTATCTGATCTGACACTATCATCTGCAGCAGCTTGCTACTGAGAAGACACCACCATTATAATGCACAAAAAGGTTTAGTTTCCTCTCAAGAAGTTTCTGACGAAATCGTTCTTGTCAACGTTGTTGTAGCTCTCTTGGTCCTCGAAGTATCTCATGACATGACACTGCTGCTTCCAAAAGTTGATCAATTCCTGGAACTCCATCTGGCCCTTCATGTAAAGAACGTTGGTAACATCCAAGTCGTTAACAAATCTCTGTCTCTCAAACTCCTGTCTTATCTTGGTCTTGACGTTGGACACTGGCATATCCAACTCGTACAAGTTGGAGAACTCCCTGGAGTTTCTGATGTATCTTCTGTACAAGTGAATGACCCTCTTTCTCATGTCAGGGTGGGTGAGGGAACGACGTGTCGTCTCAGCGAATTCCGTGGCAAGGGTCATGGTGCCTCGTGTGTAAGATGTCTATATCAAATCTGTAGGACAAATTGAAAGTTTTTGGTTGGTTAAAATGCGGGTGTGTGTGCGCGCACCATAACATCAATCATGAATCTGGTTGCGAATTTCTTTGAGGAGCTCTCCGGAGGGCTCCAAGAGCTTAACAAATCTGCAAAGCTCAAAACAATGATCCCAGCTGTTTGACTCCTGTAAAAGACTGATAATTTGTAAAATAATTTCTCTGTCTTTTGCATCAAGGATTGCCTGCTCATCTTCGGGTATATCACCCGCTTCATATTCTTTCTTGAAGTTTAAGTAGACAATGAGGTAGTTATAGCAGAGCTCAACATCCTGAGACTTCATCAACCTATTCATAAAATTGAGCGGTGTCTCATCCAAGAGGTGGAAAAATTTGTGCCAATAGCGTACCTCTATTTTTCTCAAAAGATTCACAAAAATGCTATCAGCTCTCGAAGTACTCTTCACAAGATTCACGACCTTTTCAAGATCATTGGTTTCGTCATCGATGAAATCAAAGAGGAGCAACTCCAAGCAATAGTCAAGATTAGGAATGCTTTGGTACCGCTGCACAATCGATTGGACATCTATGTTGCTTTCAAATAGATCGTGTTGAATGAAACGGTTCAGAATCAACTGCCTGCTGGGTCTGTGTTTAACAAGTACATGTTCGTTTTTCAAGATGGTCTGGTATTCGAAGCCTGTGACTTCAACAGCCCCTGTTATCTCCTGAGTAGTCAAAGGTTGCATTGAAGAGAGCCTTACTTTGATAGGCTTGAGTGGTCGCTCGACGTCAACACCAGGATGTGATGCCACATTCTCGAAGTGATACACTCGTTCAACTAATTCTTCAGCTTTGTAGACAATGACATCTTCACTGGTAACGACAGTAAGGTGTGGAGTACTTTTGGACCCACCGAAATTGATATGGCTCATATGCATTGTCTCGACTGCTTCACGTATCTTAACCAACTCATACATGTTCGTTGTTTGTACTGAGCCACTATTCGAATTTTCATTGTCCGCAGGATATTGATTCTTCAATAAAAAGAGATCACCTGTCGTAAGCAAAAAGAAAAAGTGTCTCTGATGAATCATGGCCATCTTTGTAATCAATGGAATTGCGAGCTTATGTTGAATGCTGGACAAATGGATCGACCTGCGAATCCCGATACCTGGCTTGTTCTCCTCACCGTGTTCGAATTTTTTAAGCTCCATGATCACGATTTTCAGATCTCCAGTTACCAATACTAACAATTTAGTAGCTTCATTTTCCTCATTCTGAATCTCGACGTTGAGGATTCTTGTCTTGAAATGGTGCCTCCATACAACTAAATCTGTGTCAAACTTGAAATGAACACCACCCGCTCCAGCAGTAGAGCCTTTGGTATTCAAAATGACCACTTCATCAGCCATGAGGTCAATGTGACCATGATCGTCTATGTCATCCCTAACAAAACGATTGATCAAAATCAAATATTCGTCAGCCCAGTAGTGGCTGACAATATTCATTGATTCCATGTAGTGGTTAACAAAGTTAAACCAGAGAGCATGGTAAGTCTCCAGCCCATGTTCAATTGGAGTGCTGATCGATATGCGGTCTCCATAAGAGATCGAGATCTGGTTGTACTTATTTTTTCGAATGGATATTTGTCCTGTCGGCTTTCTGAACGAGAGTCTTTTTGATGTCCCATTAATGTGATGCAACCTCGTGATGGCTTTTTGGTAATGTGGGATCATAGGTACTCTGAGAAAAGTGTGGTCATCTCGAAGAACCTTGATGGAGTTTTGATCATAAAGTATCGGCTGACCAAAGCAGTCCTGTTGAGATGTGAGTGGAAGTACGTATACGTCCTTGGCAGACTTGTCAATCACATACAATGCTAAGGCATTAGGCGAGATGATTACTTCGGAAGCATTACAGAAGTCTAAAGCCCGCGTGATTCCAGGACTGTCTGGCTTTGTTGTGGCAATTTCAGATTTTATGGATCTTGAACTGAAAAGCACAGAGCCAAAGCGCGATACAAGCTTCCAGAAACCTGTTTCGCTTTCAACTATAACGAAGAAGGTTCCACAAGGCGACCAATGACATCTTGTCTGAAGTTCTGTTTCGTAGACGGACTTGATGAAAGCCATCGAGTGTTTCTTTCCAAGGAAGGCCAATTTGTATAAATCATAGGATGACTCAGTCTTGAGAAGTAGTAGGTCAAATTGTGGATTGAAGAGAATCTCTTGGACAGGCGATTCAAGTTTTAAGAGTTCGTGCTGCTCAAGGTGAAGCCGATCGTCGTCATCAATTACGAATTCAACGAGCAGTACCTTCCTGGAAGAATCGATAAAGACAAACCGGTTTGTCGTTAGATTGTACAGCACCAACGCACCTGAATCGAACCATGGTTCCTCAGTTAAAGTTAAGACCTCAGATTTAAAGGTCTTCATGTTAAGAACTTGAATCTCGCTGTGGTCGTTGTAGAAAATTAACGTCTGTGAGTTCAGCTTGGCCCAGAAGTGGTGAATGGCAGCATTCATTCTTAGTATTTTGACAAGTGTTATTTTTACCACGGGAATGGAATCGTTACGCTGCTCATCATCATTGGCGGCATTGCTTTGGTGTTCCACATTCTCTAGGTTCACGATATTCAGTCCTCCTTGAAGGATAGATCTTGTAGCAGACTTGAACAATGCAGTCAATGAAAACTTGGACAGCAGAGCAAGCGGTAAAGAATTTTGTAGTAGCCTGTCGTCTTCCTTTTTATCGTGTACTTCGTACAAAGATCTCGAGTAGTTGGCCAAAATATGGTACACCAAGACAAAGTTAGATTCTGTTCGAACGAATAAATTAGCTGTATGGAGCTGATCAAGACGAGAAGTATCCACAGAGACTTGTCTGACCTCCAATTGCACCGCGTTACCGTGGCTTTCAATGCACTCGGGACTTCTATCATGTACAGCGATTGGAATTAAGGATTGGGCATGGTATATGAGGACGGCAGTTTTAGTGGTTACAGCAAGGAGTGGAAGTTGAGGAATTGGCACGAGATCAACATAATCTCTCGGAAGCGGAACATGGAAGGACGGGCTTGATGATACCCAAGCCATTTTGTGCGATATACCAGTAGTTGGTGAGGTGTATTTAGATATCGCGATAACTGCCGAGCCTGGAGATAGCCATGGAAGATAGACACACTTTGAAGGAGATTAATTGCTATGAAGCCCTGGGGCTTTATATTTGGATTTAGGGAAATCTTTTTCAAATTAAATGATGAATTATATTTAATGGAGATACCTGTAGGGGAGATTAGGTTGGGTGCAAATACGACCCGCTATTCAAGCTATGTGGAGGTGAAACAAGTTTAACAGGAATTTCAGAAACAGTTTTTTTGGTCTAGAGGAGAAGCGCATGTCGATTCCACTCACCTACGACAAGTGCAGTGGAGTTGGTCGTAAGTTCATCCAGAAGGATGTCTAGCCAACTAACAAGTGTACAACCATACTGTGCACGATAGTACTATGATATAAAGTCTTTCACAAATCAGCACCACCATCCCTACAATGAGTCTTCTTATTTGTACATTAATATATGACGGAGAGTGAAAGCCAAAAGCACCTTAACGGTAAGACTTCTGGAATCTGGCTCTGGCACCACGACCACCAAACTTCTTTGGCTCCATTCTTCTGGCGTCAGCAACCAACAAGGTCTTGTCGAAAGAAGCGAAGATCTTCTTCAATTCGTTCTTAGAGGCCTCGTCAACGTATTTCTGGTGGTAGGCAACCAAACCCTTGGCAATAGCCTGTCTGATGGCGTAAACCTGGGAAACGTGACCACCGCCGGAAACCTTAACTCTGATGTCGATGTTCTGGAACTTGTCCAAGCCGGCCAAGGTCAATGGCTCGTAGACCTTGAAACGCAAGATCTCTGGCTCAACAAGGGTGATTGGGGAACCGTTAACCTTGATCAAACCCTTACCGGCCTTAACGTGGGCAACGGCAGTAGCGGTCTTCTTCTTACCAAAAGTCTATTGTTAGTATAAGTTTCAGTGGAGTGGCAGCAGTGAATGTGAGGTAGTTGGGAAGTCAAATCTCGTTGACTGGCGATTTTTCAGGACATTGTTCAACTGATCAAAAGTGGATGTTCGGTGGGATGTGGGAATTTGGAAATGTTCAAATTTAAATTGGGATTCTGCCGGGGAGCCGTAGGTGGCCAGTGTGGAGTGGTAAACATACCTGGACAGATGGAGTGGACATCTTGGGTACTTGAAAGAGATTGGGAAGAAAAGTTTGCACGAAAGAGAGGTAGTTTTTTTTACTGATGCGAGGAAATTTTTTTCTGCCTGCAGGCCGTTCGCTCAGAGTTAAGTATGGGTGTACAGGTGCGGACCACATAGTTAAGGTGCCATAGAGGTTGAGGGTGCGGTTTGGCAGTAGCGTTTGGTGCGAATTAGTATGATAAATCGTGACACGTGACAGACTGTGACGGCTTCGCACCCAGCGCCCAGGTAGTACGAAAAAAAAATCTTCTTCTTCTCAGATCTTCCTACCACCACTCATCAAGGAAAATGGCTATCGCTAAGAACCAACCCATCTTGAAGAACCACTTCAGAAAGCACTGGCAGGAGCGCGTCAAGGTGCACTTGGACCAGGCTGGCAAGAAGGTGTCCAGACGCCAGGCCAGAGCTGTCAAGGCCGCCAGAGTGGCTCCTAAGCCAGTGGATCTCTTGAGACCCGTGGTCAGATGCCCAACCATCAAGTACAACAGAAAGGTCAGAGCCGGTAGAGGTTTCACTTTGGCCGAGGTTAAGGCTGCTGGTTTGACCCCTAAATACGCCAGAACCGTTGGTATTGCTGTGGACCACAGAAGACAGAACCGTTCTCAGGAGACCTTCGAGCTCAACGTCGCCAGATTGAACGAATACAAGTCTAAGTTGGTCGTTTTCGACAAGAAGACCAAGGCTGAGGGTGAGCAGGTTTCCGTCCCTGCTGCCTTCCCTATCTCCCAGCCTGCTCCAGAGACCGCCCCAAGAGCCGTCGAGGTGCCAGAGAAGACCGCCTACGAGACCTTGAGAGCTGCTCAGAACCAGAAGAAGTACAAGGGCATCAGAGACAAGAGAACCAAGGAGAAGGAGGAGGCCGAGGCTGACAAGAAGAAGAAATAAGCTATAGGCGGATTTCTCTCCAGGTGTATAAATTAATAGCTACGCGGTTAAGTAAGCTACTGTAGGTCCGTAATGGATATTTTCTATTGAAGACTGTTGATTTACGATGTGGGGTCATCGCCATCGCCATCACTTGGGATGTAGTGCTCAATAGTCTTTTATGAAAGAGTGTTATTTAACAGACTAGATAGACTTTTAGTTGAGTCAATCGACGTGAAGTGAAAGTAACACACGGATCAATTCATTGCACATCGTGATAATGCGGTCTACGGATGGGCCAATTCAGGCATTCCTCCCATGGGCATTGCATTTTGTTCATGCAATTGATGGGAGTGATAGTGAAAACTTTCGTTTACACGGATCTGACATGGAGTTTTACAGAAAAGATCTCGTTAAGTGCCGGCAAAGCTATGTATAACAGGACCTTTGTATCTTCATCAAAAACACTAGTGGTTGCAGATCATCAAGATGAGTAGGACTATAATGCCAAATTATGGAGTCCTTCAAACATCAGTAATTATGGCTTTTGTATGGATGGCAAAATCCAAACAATATAGCTGAGGTCATCTTTGTAGATACTTTATGATGTTGGCATCACTCCCAGTTTTCGCAGCCATTATCCACAACCGATGAAGCATGAGTTAACGTAGACAGTCACTTACAGCAACGTCCAAAATGTGCGTTCGACAATAAGAGTGGACCAGTTAACTACATCCAATCTTGACTCCAAAAGTAGTGTAGTAGTTGATCCCCTCTTTTGGCTCCTTCGTTCTAGTGCAGTTTGATGCTCTTCGGCCTGAGGAGGGGATCTCATCTCTTGGTTTACATGAATACTCAGGCTCATCTCCATGGGATCATGTCATCATTTTATGAAGCACTTAGAAAGTTGAGTAAGTTAACTCACAACCGGACAAACGTCTTAGTTGCACAGACACAGGGTCATCTACAATCACTACACACCACCCACATCGGCGGCACATTCTCATAATATACTTGTATTAATATATTACAGCAGGAGCGTCGAGGCGACAGGCTTAGTCGAACAAACCGAAACCCATGTCGTCGTCAGACTCCTCCTTGGCCTCTTCCTCCTTCTCCTCAGCGGCAGCCTCTTCAGCACCACCAGCAGCGGCAGCAGCGCCACCGGCAGCGGCACCACCAGCAGGAGCAGCCTGGATGTTGAAGAAGAAGTCCTTCAAGTCCTTACCCTCCAAGGCTCTGGCGAAGATCTCGGACCAGATAGGCTCGACCTGGACGTTGGCCTTAGCGGTCAAGGCGCCCAACTTGTCGGCGGAGATCTCGAGACCGGAGTCAGCGAGAATCAAAGCGGCGTAAGACAAAGCAGATTCGGTAGACATTGCGGAACTAGAAGTAATCAGATTAAGCAATAGGCAGACTATTTCTTAGTTTGTGGTGAGTAGGAAAACGGTGAACATTTTTTTTCAGTGGGGGTTCGCGGGCAGGCGCTGGGATCACGTGAGATGGACTAGGGCTTCAACCCTTGGACAAGGCAGAGGGCCACAAGACACACAAATTTCAGCAAAGACGGTGATTTTTGACTAATTGGGCACCTGGTTTCGTGCTTTAGGCGTTCTTCATTCTGTTTTGCTGTTTTGTGTGATTGCAACTAGTGGTCCTGGTGCGCACCAATGGCTGCAAAATGGCAATGGGTCCCAGGGAAGGGACCTCAGTTACCCAGGACACCGATAGGCTGAACCGGTAGACCGTAGACTCATCCATTGCAACATTCACTGAAAAGAGATAGAAAAGATCCCTAATCGAAAAAGCCAAACATGAACCCTCCGTCCATCAGATACGCCGTTGACGAGGATACGCGGTTGCAACTACCAAACAAACAAAGAAATCTAGACCCATCGTCGATCGCCGTTGATTCACGACTGTTCGTGACATGGCACTACAGCTCAAGACATCGCATCACTCTGGCCGATCAACACGATACCCGATCATCGAAGAAGATCTCGAAACACCTCCACGCCAAGTCCGCATGTACTAACCCAAACCACCTATTGTTGCATGCCAGGTGCGACACAAAACTAAGTTTAGCCAGCGCCGACCAAACCTTATTATGGCAAGGCTAGCTGACACCAATGAGGCACAACAGCAAATAAGACAGCCAGCAGAAATTGCCAGAGACACGGGGTGACGGTATTGTCCACGCAGCTGTCAGTGCTGATCACATTGAAAAATAGCTCATTCATCGCTGCAGCGGTAACGGCTCCAATTGGCGTTAAGGTGTGCAAGCGCAAATCGGATTAAGCGAATGTACACGTGGAGATGACTCCGGACATAAACACAAGCAGCAGCTTAGCGAATCTAGAAGCTGGAGGCTGCAAACCGTAAGGTTATGGTTTGAGGCCATGGAGCTGTAAGCGGCTGGCTGCTGCGGGAAGCTGCGAATTGGCTTTCCAGAAGGACCCTGCTGGGGGGGATTCTGGCGCGACGTGAATTGCAGCCACCAAACAAATAAACAGACGGCGAGCACGACAACGACATTTGGAGAGAATTGGGGCCCAAAGAAGGAGATTTTGCTTGCAATGGCCCACCTTTCATCGAGAGAATCGCCTGTTCAGGTAATCAATGGCAGTGGAGTAAGAGCCGGGCCGAACATAAACAATGCGCTGGGTCAGTGGGCCACTACGTCAGGCCTCCACGGTGAGTGCGAGGACCTAGTACACCGGCGGGAATCACAGCGACTTTGCAGCCACCAGCACAAATCCCCATAGACGGTCACCAAGCTGCACGGTGACTGAATTTTGTTTATTTTTATCGCACTGAGCGGCTTCCAATTGCACGGTGGTTTTTGAATAGAGCCGCCGCTCAGTGTCCCCCCCAATGTGGGGAGAGTCACAGGCCTCTTCTAACCAGGCCAGGCAGGGCACGCGATCATTGGCCCTAGACGGCACCATTCCTGCTGCACAGGTCCCCACGACTGTTTCAACGCAACCGGACCGACTCGGCGTGCCTCCCAGTTCCCCGGATCGAGTGCGAGTTTCACAGCAACCAACTCTGTTAAGCCCTGCCAAGGCGCATTGTGAGAATCACCCTGGTGACATTGGCTCCAGCGCCGGTTTCACAATTGCTGCTTCCGAAGCGCCAAGGCTGCGATCCAGATTCTCCACCAACGTCAAGTCAGATTTGGAAGCCCTGACAATCCTGAAACAATGCCGGAACAATCGCCCCTAAGCTAATTGCCCAATTTTGTAGAACCCCCCCAAAACCCAAAAACAGCATGGCGCTTCACATTTCCGGGTGCCAAAGGTAAATCGGAGGGAAGCCTATTTGGAGCTTTCAGTGGCTGGAATGTAGCCTCAGTGCGAGCGCTTGTGGATTAGCGCCCGAGCAGGACGAGCCGGGAAAACAGGACGGTAGGAAAAAAAATGGGTTATTCCGCAAGGGGGTGTGCTAATTTTGGCCGCACCAGGGGAACACCGGCTGGATTTGGTGTAGTCAAGAAAAAACCAAAATGCACCTTCTATTTAAATCGTTCGGCCTACCCCACCTACGTCTTTCCCTCACTCCATCTTTGTTTGCGCTGGCTTCGCCAGGCTGGTTAAGCCTGGTGGGACTGGCGCCTCCTGGGCCTGAGGACTGCCTGTGACGTCGGCATGTGCAGCCTTCTGTGCAGCCTGCAGGAGCCGCGGCATTGTATATGCGCCTGATGCGTCCCTCCACGTCTACATGCCTTGTCTGTATCGCCAACGCCTCCTGCCTTGTTTCCCTGCCCCAGCCTTGTACCACACCTCCTGGCAGTATATAAGGCGCCCCACCCGCCCCATACTTGTGTTCAACATCCTGTACATTTTTTTTAACTTCACGTCGTCTTTCGCTAGAGCTTTCATTCAAGGCTTGATTTTTCTTCTTCGTTAATCACCATTCCCCTTTCTTAATCATGAAGCTTTTATCCCTTTGGACCTTGGCCACCTCGGCCTTGGCTGCTTCCACCGCAAAGAGATCCAACAAGGCCTCTGACTGGGACTACCAAAACAAAAGAGTCGAGGGTGTTAACTTGGGCGGCTGGTTCGTGTTAGAGCCTTACATTACGCCGTCCCTCTTCCAAGAATTCGGCGATAACCCTCCTGTGGACGAGTACCACTACACAAAACAACTCGGCAAGGACGAGGCCCTCAAGAGATTGAAGAAGCACTGGGACACTTGGTACCAGGAGCTGGACTTTAAAGCCATGGCCAAGGCCGGCATCAACACCGTCAGAATCCCAATTGGCTACTGGGCTTACGGTTCTTTGGACAATGACCCTTATGTGCTGGGTCAGGACAAGTACTTGGAGAGAGCTATTGGCTGGGCCCGCAAGCACGGCCTCGCCGTCTGGATCGACTTGCACGGTGCTCCAGGCTCCCAGAACGGTTTTGACAACTCTGGTTTGAGAGACCAGGTCGAGTACCAGACAGACGAGAACATTTCCCTCACCCTCACCGTCTTGCAGAAGATCTTTGACAAGTACGGTGTCGCCGAGTACGAAGACGTTGTGAGCGGCATCCAGTTCTTGAACGAGCCTCTCGGCCCAGCTTCTGACTTGAACCAGCTTAAGAACTTCTACCGTTGGGCCTATGGCAACATGAGATCGGTCTCGTACAACAATGCCATCATCCATGACGCGTTCGAGCAGACCGAGGGCTACTGGGACTCCTTCATGAACGTCAAGGACGGCTACTGGAAGGTTGTCTTGGACCACCACCACTACCAGGTGTTCTCTGGTGGTGAGCTCGGCATGAGCATTGACGACCACATCAAGACTGCTTGCAACTGGGGTCCTCAACACAAGAACGAGTACCACTGGAACATTGTTGGTGAGTGGTCTGCTGCTCTTACTGACTGTGCCTTCTGGTTGAACGGTGTGGGCCGTGGTGCCCGTTGGTCTGGTGACTACGACGGCTCGCCAAACTACGGCTCCTGCGCCCCATACACGAACGCTGATGAGTGGACTGACGAGCACAAGAAGAATGTGCGTAAGTATCTCGAGG